GGCGGACAGCGCAGGCTCCCGGGAGGGGTGATAGCCAGCCGCTGGCCTTTTTTTTCCTCTCTCTCTCTCTCTCCTCTCTCTCTCTCTCTCTAACTGGATGGTGGACGGCAGTAGGCCGGGGCTTTTCCGCCCGCTGAAAGCCAGCGAGAAAAACAGCGCGCGGGGAACAAAAGCGCCGCGCCCACGCCCAAGATAGTTAGGGTTAGACAGGATGCGGCCATCACCCGGCCCGGGCCCCCCTCCGCGTCCCGCCGCGCGGCGGGCGGCACCCGCTTATAAAGGAGCGGCCTACGCCCGCGCCGATTGGCCGAGGCCTCCGCCGCAGCTCTCGCGAGATCCGGCCTTGGCAAAACTTTTTTCCCCCTTTAAGTTGTACTTCCGGCCCTGAGGTCCGTCGCAGCACCCCCACGTCCGTGGGAGGCGGGGGGGGGGGGGGGGGGGGGGGGGCGCAGGGGGAGGAAGGTTTGTTTTAAGGGTGAAAATTAATGTGCGCATACGAGGGCCGTTTTCAGTCCGCTGCGGAGCAGGCGCTGTGCATTCATTTAGCTTAAAAAACAAAAACAAAAAATCAGAGCTGAGCCAGCCTTCACTGCTCAGTGATTAGAGTATTGAAGGATCATGAGTTGCAGATTCGGGATGACCTGGGTTGCAGGTTGAATCCCTGTCCCCTCCCCCTCCCTCCACCCCCTTTCTTTATCCCGCCCTCCTCCTTTTCACTCTCTGAAAATAGATGGGGAAAAATATGCTCTTGTGAGGATTAAAAAATAAATAAAAATCAGAAAAAGTTGAAGGCAGGAAACACAATAACAGTGGTTCTTACTGAATCTACCATTTGTAGATGGGTTTCAAGCATTGGTTTTATTTTAAAAAATATATTTTTTATTGATTTCGGAGAGGGAGAAAGAAACATCAATGATGAGAACCATTGATCCTCTGCGCCCCCCCCCTTTGCATCCCCTGTACCCCCCACCTGGGGATCAAACCTGCAGCCCAGGACATGTGCTCTTTACTGGAATGGAACCTGAGACCCTTTGGTCCACAGGCCGAGGCTCTATCCACTGAGCCAAATCAACCAGGGCTGGTTTTGCTTTTTAATGTTGTGTCTTGATTAGGTTGAAAAGGAACAATCCACCATAAATAGCAGCAAGGGTTTTATAATGACTAATACAATAGTGTTTTACATGTAACTGTCAGACTTCTTAAAATACATTTATTTTATTTTATATTATTGTAACTAGTTCATCTTAATTGAACTCATGTTCACTGGGTGAATTCCATGGAGTTGCTACCAGTGCCTCAATCTGAGAAAAAAAGTAAAGTATTAGGTGTGTCGGTTCCAAATGATTGTAAGGGCAGGAAAAATATAAATGGAATTTTCACATTTTATTCCCTATTCCTAGATTACCTGATAAGGATCATTTATGACCTCATGTTAGAGGCTGAATATTCTACAGAATATTCCAAGCTGGCCTTAGGTTAACTACAATACCTAGGAGACCAGTGTGGATGAAAGGAGCCGCATGCTAACCTGAGAAGCTCAGGGGAGGCCTGCATGGCGAACTTGCAAACTCAGAGACCTAAAGTAATCACAAAGGATGGTCTGAAATTAAATTTTAACTAAAAGCAGTTATGGTGGGTACTTATGTCCTAGGCCGGTATCTTCACTGACAAGGTCAACCTTTACCTTAACTGAGCCTCTCTGTCTTTTTGCATCTGTAATAATGCCTGTGTAACTTGTAACTTCCCTTTTTCCAGGCCTCTTAGGCTAATGTGCCTGGATTCTAGGAAAGATACCACAAATTCCTTCATTGTTATCATGTTAACTAGGAGTCCAGTGCACATGCTATCGATGCCAGCAAGAGCTTTATATGTATTGTGCATGTGCCAGTCAACTTAGCCTTTTATAGATAAAGAATAAACTTGCTTAATTAGACCTGCTTTCTGAGGTAGTTAAACTTTTTCCAGTCCAGCGAAGCACCCCAACTTCTCTTTCAGGTAATTGTCAGCAACATAGCAGTAAATATTAACACGAAGCACATTATTATTGTAGATCATGAAGGGAGAACAAAGAATAAAATATTTAACTGTAGCAGTGTTTGACTATATTCTGCACAGTGAGAAAACCTGAGTCATTTTCAAGGTCCACCATTTCTTTTCAGTCGGGTCAAGTTTCTAAACTTTCTACCGTAAATCTCCATTTTCTGGCTAATGAAAAGAAAATAAGTTTCCACAGAGTCTCCTATCTACCTACTCCAGGACTTCTTTAAGGGTCAAATGAGATGAAGCACGGGAAAATGCTTCACAGACATTTGGTTAAAGTGTAAAATGTTTCCACCTGGCTACAAAGCAAGTCATGTTCCTGGGCTGAAGAAACTTCAAGTCATTGCTACGTGATGACTAGTACCCATAGCCACCGTTTCCGGGTTGGGCTGGGCTGTGGGCCACATTTTGTGCCATGGGGTCTTGGCAGTGTTGGCTGTGATGGGGGGGGGGGGGGTGTTGTTGCTCTGGGGTGGTGGCAGGGCCTGTGTCCCACTTGGGGAAGCCGGGTCCACAGTGCCATTTCTTTGTAAATGGCCAGTACATGTCACCACAGCTCCTTCATTGAGTGTCCGTCCCCTGGTGGTCAGTGCGCATCATAGCGACTGGTCGGATGGTCGGAGGAACACTTAGCATATTAGCCTTTTTTATATATATATATATATATATATATATATATAGAGAGAGAGAGAGAGAGAGAGAGAGAGAGAGAGAGAGAGAGAGAGATTGTTCCTGCACCCTAAGTATGTGTCTGTCATTTTACTTTTTATCCAATCCCAGAGGTCCCCCTGCCTCGTTTTCTTTCTCCTGCCTCTCTAGTCTATCACCAATGGATTTCATATAACCCACCTATGTCCCTCCTTTGATTGCAATGTAAAAAAATAGAGGAAAACCCGCCATTCTCTGGAACATTATGTCAATCTGCTTCCCAGCAATTGTCAATAGTTTGGCTCAAATAAACTCACAAAAATTCTTTATAGGTTTGAATGTTTTTTGTTTGTTTGTTTGTTTTTGAATATATTTTATTGATATTTTACAGAGAGGAGGAAGGGAGAGAGATAGAGAGCTAGAAATGTCTATGAGAGAGAAACATCGACCAGCTGCCTCTTGCACACCCCCTACTGGGGATGTGCCCGCAACCAATATACATGCCCTTGACCGGAATCGAACCCGGGACCTTTCAGTCCTCAGACTGACACTCTACCACTGAGCCAAACCGGTTTCGGCAGGTTTGAATGTTTTTATGTTAACTCCAGGATAAGGTCTGTGTGCCCACCTTACCTGGAGAGTTATTTCGGGATCACTTTAAACTTCAATCTCTTAACATGTTTAAATCTCAATTTCTTAATTTGTAAAATGGGAATAAACATTTCTTTCTGGGATGTTGATGTTTAAATTAAGTAAATGTATAATTAGCCCTATTTTCTTTAGGGGAAAAAAAGCACTTTAAGAATTCTAAAGTGAGGAAGACAAGTAAACCAAAGGATAAGAATCCTATAGACTAAAAGCCCAATATGCTAAGTGTTGTTCGTTCAACGTTTGACTAGTCACTATGATGTGCACTGGGGAGAAGATGCTCCGGCCTTAGGTTAGCTCGCTGCTGGGGTCCAGCCAATGGGGACTGGGCAAGATGGGCTGGACATGCCCTGAAACCCTCCTGCAGTCCTTCCCTGGCCCCGATCGTGCACTGGTGGGATTCCCAGGCCTGGCCTGCTCCCTCTCGCAATCCAGGACCCCTCAGGGATGTTGGAGAGCTGGTTTCAGCCCGAACCCTGCAGGCCAGGCTGAGGGACCTCTAGTGTATTAATAAAATGGTCAATAGATGTGTGTGTGATATGATGTGCTGGAGGACATAGTCACTTTAGACTCCATGGAGGAAGTAACATCTGAACTATACATTTTCTAATTCTATGAGCAAAAGTTCCTTTGGGGACATTATCTCATTTGAACTTCACAATGACCCTGAGACAGATTGGGATTAGCAACCCCACCTATGGATGAGGAACTCGATCATCAAGGTGTTTAAACAATTTGCTTAAATAGACAGCTGGAAGGTGGCAGGGCTTAGGCCCCAACCCACAAATGCTGCCCCTGAATTCAAAGGGAAGTAAATTCCAGCAGTCCCTCAAGCCCAGGCCCAGAGCCACATCTACCAGAAAGTCTTCCTTGACTCCTGAAGGTATTTTCCCTCCTATTAAACCCCAGAGCATTTTATGCTTCACTTAGGATACCAAATCACCTTCTACCTTGTATTATGATAATTAAGGTATGGATTCTCCTTATACTAGACTGCTGGCTTCCTTGGGACAGGATCTGACTCCTGATTTAATGTAATGATTTACACAGAGTGGATACTATAAATACTTTGAGTTATGTCAACATTGCCCTCATTCTTTCTGATACCTAGGTCATTTCGGACCTTCCCCCTTCTGCTCCCCCCAATTCATATCTATCTAATTAGGCATCAAGACTTGTCTGTTTTTCATAATCTGTTTTTAAGTCCTATTGCCTATAATCTTGAATACAAGACTTTAACTATTTTTTTTAAATAATTTTTAATTTATTTCAGAGAGGAAAGGAGAGGGAGAGGGAGAGATAGAAACATCAATGATGAGAGAGAATCATTGATAGGCTATGCACCCTACCAAGGATACAGCCCGCAACCAGGGCATGTACCCTGACCTGGAACCAAACTGTGACCTCCTGGACCAAGACTCAACTATATTATGTCTAGTTTTTTTTGTTTTTTTTTTTAATTGATTTTGTACAGAGAGGAAGGGAGAGAGATAGAGAGCTAGAAACATCGATGAGAGAGTCATCTACCAGCTGCCTCTTGCACACCCCCTACTGGGGATGTGCCCGAAACTAAGGTACATGCCCTTGACCGGAATCGAACCCGGGACCTTTCAGTCCCCAAGCCGACGCTCTATCCATTGAGCCAAACCGGTCTCGGCTATTATGTCTAGTTTTTAACTGAACATCAGATCTCCAGAGCCTCCCCAATTTATCCTCCAAATTATTGCCACATTCATCTCAATTCCCTTATGTCTTCTGCTTTTAAATCTTTAATTGTTCCTCTTTGCTTATATGACGTTTAACACAAAGCCTTCCAGCCTCTGGCCTTAATTTACCTTCCTAGTGTTGCTCCATATGAGTTTTTTCTTCATTTTAACAAAACCATTCACTGAACATGCCTTGAATACACTTAGTTTATTTTCATCTTTAGCCCCTTGTTCATTTCCTTAATGCATTTCTGAATATCTGCCCTCTGTCCCTCCCCCCTTACCCCTCCCAATGCCATTCCATCTATGATGGCATGCTTTTGCTATGAAATCTTTCCTCATAGCAACCTTTTGTTCCTTAAACTTCATCGAACTTGAATCTATATCACTCATGTGGCATATGACACGTTGTACCACAAGTTGTTCTCTCTCCAAGGGAAATGTCAGATCTCCAAAGTCAAAAATAGTGTTTCCTATAGCATTTAATTTCGCCCTAATCCATAAACAGGTTGTTTTACTGCTTTGCCATTATTTCCCCCGATTATACAATAGAAATGCAACAGAGGCATGGACAGTCCTATAATTGAAATATTTTCTGTTCTCCCAGAAACATAATATCCCCAAGTTTTCTGTCCCACGTGCTTGGAACATTTTCTTGTAAGCATTTTATCTAGATTCAGAAGCATCTTTGGTGTACTATGTTGGGACCTACTTCTTTAAATTCTTTAGCAGTGATCCACACGTCCTGGAAGGCAGACAGGGATGCAAGAATAGAGCCTCCCATCCACGCCGATATTTTCCTTTCTGGGGGAGCCCTAACCTGTATAGGGGTATTGGGAGGCGCCAACTTTGCTATATCTTTAACTAGCCGCCTGTCTAAATTAGGGAACAAGGTTGATCCCCCGGCAAGGATGATATTGGAGAAAAGGGAATTCCTCAGATCTTTATCGCATTTCATTATGCTGCTGTAGCACATCTTATCAATGCCCATGGTCTCCAGGTTCATGAGAGATGGGCAAAAAAGGACCTCTGGACATTGAAAGAGCTGGTCATAGAGCTTGATCACCCTCCCGTCAGGCAGCTGGTAAACTTTCTCCATGCTACTACATTTCTTGTCCATTTCCTCTTTGTAGTTCATTGCCACGTAACAAGAGGTTTCCTTGATATCTGCGACAATCCTTCTGTCTGCAGCGCTAAGCAGTACGATGCCATGGTCCTTCAACAGACTCATGAGGTAGTTGGTGAGGTCAAGGCCAGCCAGAGGTAGCTGCTGGACACCATGAGGCAAACAGTAACCTTCAAAAATGGGCACACACTGAGTAACCCCAGCCCCTGAATTCATCACAAAGCCAGTGGTGAAGCCGGCCGCAAAGAGAGCCAGCACCCCCTGGATGGACATATAGAAGCCAGGAACCCCCAGATGCTCAAAAAATATTTCAGCCATCTGTTGTCGGTTGGCTAGTGGGTTCAGGGCTGGCTCAGTGATCAAAACCGGCTGATCACAGGGCTTCAGCTTCAGGCTATGGTCATAGACGTGCTTCCACATGACCTCCATGTCCCCCCAGGAAGTAATGAGGCCACGCTCCACTGGGTAGCTGCAGAAAGAACAATAGCATCAGTGGCAGTTTCTACCCTTCAGACCTGGGTCAATTCCCATATTGTGCCCCGTTAGGGGCAGTGGCTGCCAGAATTTCTCAGAGAAGGTAACCACCAGCAAAAGTAGAAAGCTAATTCCCTCTGCAATTTCTGTTGCTTTTCATCCCCCACATCCCCTTTGGAAAACCCTTTGTGAATTAAAAAAATAAAAGTTGAATGTGTGTAGGGGGGAACCTAATCTGTTTGGCTCAGTGGATAGTGCCTTGGCCTGCGGACTGAAGGGTCCCAGGTTTGATTCCAGTCAAGAGCATGTACCTTGGTTGCGGGCACATCCCCAGTATGGGGTGTGCAGGAGGCAGCTGATTGATGTTTCTCTCTCATCAATGTTTCTAACTCTCCCCTCCTCTCTGTAAAAAATCAATTTTATATATATATATATATATATATATATATATATATATATATATATATATATATATATATATAAAGTTGGAAGGAGGGGAATGTTCACATAACAGTACAATTTTACTACCAAATCATTTGAGACAACCACCCACACGGCAAAGGTTCCATGAATTAAGTAACATTCTTCCATGCACTTGCATTTTATCATGGATACATTTACATGTTTGAGTGCATTTGTACAAGTCCAGAGAGCAAGTAATAGTCACTCATTTGGCACCCTCGGAGGGCTGTGGCCCATGCATTTCCACTAACACCGGCTAGCTGAGGCTCTCCGGTTTCCACACCGTTTCCCTCACCCTCCCGCACTTTCTCTGGGCTCCCCCTCCACTCTCCCCACCTACCCCCGCGGGTGCTGCCCCCCGGGAAGAGGCGGTGCCCACCTGATGGCCAGCGCGCTTCTCCGGCTGTGCGCCTGGTCGCCCGCGTACAGCTCCTGCACGCCCAGGGCCGCCCTGCTCTGGCCTTTGACCCGGCCCATAATGTTTGGGTACACAAACTGGGGCTCCCGGGACCCCGCCAGGCCCGCCTTCATCACTCCCGAGCCGTTGTCCATCACCACCGGGAGCTGGCAGATGCTCATGCTGCCCGCGCTGCCGCCGCCCCGGGGCTCCCGGCCGGTCCCTCTCGGTCCCGGCTGCGGCCCGCACCGGGAGGGAGGACGGGAGGTGCGGGGCGCGGTCCCTGCCCTCACCGGCTGCTTCCAGTGATGCGTGCGGGCGGGAGCCTGGAACCCCGCGTCACAAAAGCCCCTCGAGGTCCCGCAGCGCCGGGCAGGGGCGTCCCGGGCCCACAGAGCTCCCAATTACCGCTGTCCCCGCGGCTTCTCTCCCCGATTCCTGGAATCCTGGACCACCAAGATCAGGAAAACCCAATTTCCTCCCCGAAAATACAATCTCACCCTTCCAACGCCCCTCTGGGAAAAGATGCTTAGTAAACACTTCTTTCTCATAGAAGAAAGTGTACCCACAAGAAAGGCAGCTAGCGGGTACCGCGCGGGAGGGAGCTTTAAAAATAAGTGCACCAAATTCCAATGTTTGAACTAATAGCATTGTTCCACATAGTTACCTTCCTCTTTCTGGCTTTATTTTCTTCTTTCAGTTAAAATCTACATTAACTTTAACTTAGTTAACTTTAAGAGTAAGTGAAGGGCAAATTACAATTGTTTTCTCCAATACCTCGACTAGTTAGAAAACGGGTTTATTTCCCCCCAAACCATTGGATTCTAGTGATTAAGTGTCTGTCCAGGGGCTTGGGGAAAGCTGTGGAAAGAGGTGGAGAGGTTAGACAGGGGAAGATAGTCCCAGCAGGGGAGGCAGGGTTCCTGCTTTTGAAACCCAATCAATTTCTGAAAAGAAGAGGAGGAAAAAACGCTAGGATGTAAAGTGGGTGTTAGCAAGCCCTGGCAGGGTAGCTCTCCGTTGGTTGTAGTGTCCAACCCATACTCCAAGGTTGCGGGTTCGATTCCAGGTCCGGACACATACGAACTAGTACAAAAAGCAACCATTGAATACATAAGTAAATGGAACAGTAAATCTAGGTCCCCTCCCCCTCTCTCAAGTCAATACAAATGTAAAGTGGGTTTTAAAATATTAATTTCACTCATAGGTGGAACCTAATTTCACTCATAGGTGGAATCTAACAGAAAGAACTAACAAGCAAAAAATAGAGACAGACTCATTCATAGAGGAGCAGTCTGATAAGTGTCAGGAGGGGAGCTGGGGAAGGGGTAGAGGAAATTGGGCAAAAAAGAAAAGGGGGGGAAAAAAACGAAGTGGATTTTAAAAACTTTTATTATTGTTGCTATATCCTGAGCATTTTTTTTTATTTGTGTGGCTTGTAAGCATAATGCACTCCAAACCAAAATGGTAGAACCTCGCATTAATTCATTAATTAACTAATTAATGCAATCTCATCGGGTTATCTCCAGGGTAATATGGAAGCTAATTCTTATTCTGAAAAAGTCTGGATTTTTAGGCTTAAGGGTGTGTCTACCTCTTTGCAGCAAATGTGATATTCCTTCAGTCAGATGAAGCTCACTCAGGCTTAGTGAGTACCTTGCGTGCCAAAAAGGTGCGTCTTGGTATCTTGAGTTTCACCCCCAATTTTGCACACCTGTAACTATGCAATCTAGAAGCTCTGGTGTACAGAAGCCAGGGAGGAAATTCAAACGCTGTTACACGTCCCTCCACTAGGGGCTTGGAAGCGTAGCCTTCTCACCGGCTGATTTAAATCCCGGCGTTGGGGTTTGGTGAGGCGCGCCGCTGGGGGATCGGGACTCTGGGATCCGCGAGGACGCGCCCTTCCAGGTCAGCGAAGCCCAAAAACTCGCCTGGCACTCTCAGCAACGCCCTTCTGGGAAAAGAGGCATAGTAAACACTTCTTTCTCATAGAAGAAAGTGTACCCAAAAGAAGGGCAACTAGCGAGTACCGCGGGGGAGGGAGCTTTAAAAATAAGTGCACCAAATTCCAATGTTTGAACTAAAAGCATTGTTCAACATAGTTATCTTCCTCTTTCTGGTTTTATTTTCTTCTTTCAGTTAAAAGTTACATTGATGTTAATTTAGTTAACTTTCAGTGAACGGCAAATTACAATGTCTATATCTAGGACTTCCTGAAGCCCCACCAGCACCTAGGTTTCCGTAGTGTAGTGGTTATCACGTTCGCCTAACACGCGAAAGGTCCCCGGTTCGAAACCGGGCGGAAACAACTTTTCCTAAAACAATCGCCTTTATTTACTTATTTTTTTTAAAGACAGTAACTTGTATACCCTTCGAAAATTCAACTTTCGGTTTGGGTATTATTTCATTTGTTTACCAAATGTTTTTATTTGTGGCGTGCCATGTGCAAGAAGGGCTCCAGACTTAATTTTATTTTATTTTTTCTTTGATTAAAGGTTTTTTTTGTTTGTTTTACTTCAACTCTCAACCTGATACTGGGAAAATAATGTAATGTATAGCCTAGCAGGGAAGATCAGTGTGAAAACTCTTAGCTCTGTGGCCTCCTGAACACTCTGTTTAGTATTATGTCATTAGGTTTTCCATTCATTTTCCCATAGACCATGCTTTATTCTTATTCTTGTGAAAGAAAAGAGCCACAAGCTAACCTGACAAGCTCAGGGAAGGCCTGCATGGCAGTCTTGCAAACCCAGAGACCTAAGATAACCACAAAAGATGGTTTGAAAATTAAATATCTAACAGGTTATAGTAGGTAGTCATGTCCCAGATATTTTCCCAAAGATCAACTTTGATCTTTTTACTGAGCCCATTTGCCTTTTTTGCCTCTAAGATAACATATCTGTGAGATGTCTGGGTAACTTGTAACTTCCCTTTTTCCGGAGCCCTGGGGAACAACCAAATGTGGTGGGCGCCAGGACAGATGCCTCAAATTCCTTCTTTATCATGTTAATTGTTTACTTTTTGTCCAATCCCAGGAGTTTCTCACCACTTTGCTTTCTCCCACCTCCTTACTCTATCACCAATGAATTTCATGTAACCCACCTATGTCCCTCCTTTGATTTCAGTGTATAAATAGAGAAATGTAATCCACCATTCTTTGGAGCATTATCTCAATCCGTTGAGGTTCTGCTTCCCGGCAATTGTCGACAGTTTTGGCTTAAATAAACTCATTAAAAAATTCTTTACAGGTTTCAATGGTTTTTTTTCGTTAACATTCTTATTCTTTATACTAGTGTCATGCTTGGCACCTGGGAGAGGCTCATAAATATTTCTGAATTAATAAATCATCAAAAAGTGTTCTGACAAAAAAAAAAGTGAAATAAGAAAAAAGTATACAAGAAATATAAAATTGTTAGGACAAAGGTCTCAAGGTCTGGAGCATTCTTACTAAATGTTATTCTTGCTAAATGTTAAAATGTAGCACAGCATTTTGCATACCAACTGTAAACAGATTGAGCTCCACAGGAACTAGAATAGATAAATGTAGCCAACTGTAAAGGAAAAATCAGTGTGTACTTGACTCTTCTGGGAGACAGCTTCGGCCATGAATCCCCATCTCCTTTACTTGCTGCAAGTAAATAAAACTACCTTGCAACAATCACCCCTGTTATTTTTTTAAATACAGCTCCCCAAGTTGCAAAACCCTTGAGCGTAGTGACAAAATCAAGAAAGAACCAGCCTCAATTTTTTTCTTTATAAACACCATGGCTGTGTTTTTGTATACAAATAGACTTCTTAATGAGTAGACAGAAGTTATAAAAATAGTAAACAGCATCTGGTTGGAAAAATCTTCAGAGAGAAGAAACGAATAAGTTCAGTGGAGACTGCCCTTTAAAACAAAGTTGCGAGCAAACTTCCTATGGTCCTGACACAACTTTTAACAATAAAGAAATTTTGGAAGTTTTGGTTTCCTGAGACTTAAGATGTCTGCGAGTAGACTAGAAAAAAAAATCTACCATCACACAACATGATTTATCTTAATGTGTCTGCGCCTCTCGTATATTATGCAAACTAGCATCCCTTTCCTTCACCCTACAAAATTTGAATTGGGAAGGGAGAGAGAGAGAGAGGAGTGGGGACCAGGTGGAGGGGAGCTATGGGAGGAGGGAGGGAAAGGAGAAACAATTGTAATCATCTGAACAATAAGGATTTATTTAAAAATATATTGTATAAAAATTTTTGAATTCGACGTAAATAATTGCATTAAAATATTTTTAGTCCGGGCTCAGAACTTTCCGGTATAACGCCCACCTTCCTCCAACGTTGCGCATGCCCAGTGTTTCCTACATCTTTGCTCGGCTTTTCACGCGTCAGGCTCCTATCCCCCGGCCAGGGTATCGTGGAAAGTGGGCTACAAGCTGGCTGATGCAAACAAAACCCAGGAGGTCCCAAGAGCGTTCGGGTATGTACACTGAAAAGGGGTTGTCAGTCTCAGCTCAAAAACTCCCGGTGGCCGAGAGCCCAGTACAGCTTTTTCCGAGGAAGGAAAGGATGATGGGAGAAGACAAGAAACTACAAGCCCCAGCATGCACCGCGCGCTTGGGCTCCAGGAAAGAGGCCCGCGAAGCGAGCGCGAGACGCGCGGACAGTTGGCCGACCTGGACGCCGAGGATGAGGAATGCCGTCGGGGCGCTCCGAGCGATCCCTGAGGCCTCCTATCTTTGACGCTCGCTATTTTGGGGAGTGTGTGTGTATGTGTGTGTGGGGGGTGCCCTGACATGTGAGGTGTTGGGGTGAAGAGGGTTTGTGTGTGTGTGTGGACCGGCTAGTTCAGCCCCGGATGGTGTTGGACCTCCGAGGTCCTAAAGCCTCCAGTGTTGCCAAGGTGCTCCTGGACCCGGAAGTGACGTCGTCGTGGCGGAAGAAGGGAAAGGCGGAGCCGGCGTGGTGACGTCCTCCCAAGATGGCGGGGAGAGAGTGAAGAAACAGTGTCCCCGGTTCGGTTGCTATAGGTGAGTTCTGTTCTCACCTCCCCACAGCCCACTGTCCCCGCTCTTTCCGGTCCCCGGGCCACTTGTGGGGGACGAGGGGGAGCGGGCACCTTGGAGCTCGAGCGCAGGGCGGGACGACATGATGAACGTGGGGAGCTTGGTCAAGGCAGCCCGCTGTTGGCCTTGGCTACAGCCTCTGCGGTGGGGACTTGGGGGAGTGGGAGCCGGGCCGAGGGCAGGAGCCGGGAGAGACGGGCTTCGGCGGCCACTGGAAACCGCTTTGAGCGGAGGAGGGGGAGCTGAGGGGGCGTGGCCTCCCCCGGGTCGGGACTGAACCTTTGACAACTCCCGGCCCCGCCGGTTCTCCACCCCCGGGCGCCGGACCGGAGTCTTGGAGCAGCTGTGTGCCCCGCGGGAGCGCACGGGTTTCCGTGGTGTGGAAGCCGTTATCACAACTCCTACCGGTCTTTTCCTCTTCTGCCCCAAGGAATTGTTTCTCACTGGTTCGCTTTTCTTTTTTCTTTTTTTTTTTTTATGCCTACTGCGCTTAAAAGTTTGAAGGTTCATTTGAAGGTTCAGCCGGTGCAAAGGCGAGAAATTTTTTAAATATATTTTTTTGTTTGAAGCATTACAAATAGTAGTACATATATCTCAATTTTTTCCCCCTTGACCTCCCCCCACTTACCCCCCCCATATGCCTTCACCTGCCCCCTCGGACCCTCCCCCTTCCCTGTCTTGTATCCATTGGTTTTGTGTATCTGCATGCCTACAAGTCCTTCAGTTGATCTCTTACAGCCCCCCAACCTTCCTTGCCTTCCCTCTATAGTTTGACAGTCTGTTCAATGGTTCTTTATCTCTATAACTATTTCCCCCCATTTATTTTCTTTGAAAAAATCTTGCAACTGCAGACTAGAAATAAACATATAATAACAAAAAAACGTTTGAGTCCCAATTTCAGTGTCCCAACAGTTCTGAGACCCAGTTTCAATGTCAAATAGTTCCTTAATGTGTACATGTCAGCAGTGATATCTGGATGATGGACAGATGGTGGCAATGCAGGTCCGACCCTCTCTGGTTTGGTCCTGGGCAACCTGCAGCTACGCACAGCTGCTGTCTGCCAGCGTGGCCAGGCGTCCTGGACTTTTTCTCCTCTTGTCTTCGTGGTTGGAGCAGACCTGACAACTCCTCTCTGTTGCAGGAATCCCCATGTGTCTTGGAGTAGTTTTCTGAAAATATACAAACATATTCTCGACCAAAAGTTAATAAAGGAATCTTTTCTATAAAATTGACTTGGGATCCTTTTTACTTTTGCCCAAACGAAGGCGAGAAATGTTGTGGTGCTTCCTTTTCAGCTTGTGGAATTGTTTTCCACCATTGTCATTTATTGACGTGTACAAAGGATTTTGTTAGCTGGCCAAGGTGAAGCAGAGATAGGAAGGACTTATCCCTGGAGTAGCTGGACCATATCTGTTTGATAAGAATTTTCTGGTGTGTTGGGGGGGGGGGTGGGGAGTAAACTTCATTCCTGTTCATGTTATGCCCTGCGTCCTTTCTCCCCTTACCAATTGCTTGGGTGACAGGTTTGGTGAAAACTTAGGATTACTGACTTACTGTTTCTTTTTGTCTTTTAGAACAAGGGTAAAAATCCATCCTGATACCAAAATGCAGTATTCGCACCACTGTGAGCACCTTTTAGAGAGACTGAACAAACAACGGGAAGCAGGATTTCTCTGTGACTGCACCATAGTGATTGGGGAATTCCAGTTTAAAGCTCATCGGAATGTGCTGGCCTCGTTTAGTGAGTATTTCGGGGCAATCTACAGAAGCACTTCTGAGAACAATGTCTTTCTTGATCAGAGTCAGGTGAAGGCGGATGGATTCAAGAAGCTGTTGGAGTTTATATACACAGGAACTTTAAACCTTGACAGGTAAAGCACCCGTCTTCCCTCCCTCCCTTCCCCCCACTTATAAAAGCTAATTGGCAGATTTGTATTTGTTACATTCAGTCTCTGAACTTGGAATCTTCAAATATTGAAGTGCACAATGTTGTTTTCTGTTCGTTTTTTAAAGAAGCCAGTATCACTGATTTTGATGAACAGATCACATTTTTTTTTTTTTTTTAAGCACAGATGTGAATGTGATTAAAAGCCTTGTTTCTGACATATTTGATTTACCTACTGAAACAAAGCCGGTGATTATGTAAATTTGAAGATTAAACACAGTGAATTCTAAGTAAATTCGAGTTTCCCCTTGCTCTTTGGTCTTTATGTTCCTCGGGCCTTCTCTCTCCTTCACTTTCCCCTACCTTTTAAGTTGTTTGAGATGAAGGAGTATAGATTGGAGAAAGAAGGAAGAACCTCTGTGTTCATTTAATAGTTACTCCCATTTCCAACTATAAAGTGTGCAGGATCTCTTCCTGATCTTGATTTAGGAAAATAACTTCAGTGGCAGTGACTGCTGTTACCTTTGTAAAGCTATCAATACTAATGTTTAAGTTAGGTCCAAGGTGCTCCAATGGTTCTTTAATATGCTTAATGCTGTCACCGCACTAACTGAGGACTTTGATAATGAAGGCACTGTGTGTCTTGATATGTGATGATCTGTATAATTAGCTTAGTATCAATGCATTTAGTAGTTTGTGGGGGAAATGGTGGAGCAAATTAAAAGAAGGAGAATACAGATTACTCTTGTCTTTCCTCTATCTCTTATGAAAGTGTGAACATGAATAGATCATAATCTTCTGACATAGAGAGATTATGGGCTTTAGAATTAGATCTTGTCTGTCAGTCACTATGTCTCTTTGAGCAAGATGCAACCTGTCTGAGCCTCAGTTTTCCAATCTCTGAAAATCAGATATTACTGTGAAGATTTAAAGATTTACTTGAAGGCCTATCTCCCAGTGAACATTAGTTTCCTTGGTTTTCTCTTCTCTACCTCCTCTCCCACTTTAATTCTACATTTATGGAGAACAATTAGAAAAAGAAAAAAATGAAACGCCTGAAATTCTGCCACCTATTGATAACCATTAACATTTTGAAAAAAAGTTCTTTTCCAGATGATTTTGTAGAGATCAGCACATGCACATTAAACAAAATTCTTCTCTCTTTTATATTGCACGTTATCATGGAAATGCATCTCTTTAAAAAGCTAAAACCATGATATTTGTTAATACTTTTGAAAAAGAAACATTCATGCAGTTTTGGAATTAATTTTTAAATGGTGTATTGATTGAGTCAGTTTTGTATGAGTTGAATAAAGGAACAGCAGTATAATAAATTAATCTCATGATAAATTATTTGAATTTATTGAGAAGTTGACTATAGAAGTGCTTCTGATTAAAAATCCAGAATATTTAATATAAACCACAAAACCAGTGCATTTTGGTTGCTCTTCAATTTAGTGTTTTCCCTTTCTCAGTGAACTTAGCCAGGAAAATATTGAGTTGATCTGAACCCTACTGAAGAGCATCGGACTTTGCATTTTCATAAACAAAAGCCAGATGTTCGGTCAATCTTTTTTGGTACATACCTTTCCTGAGGAGCTAATTATTTGAGCCCAGCCATAATGTGTAAGAGATGAGTTTATCAAAAATAGGAAGTCTGTGTAATTTAGTGATTAAGAAAACAGAATAGCACTGACCAGCATGAATCTGTTAGTGGGAGCATCAGCCTATATGCCAAGAGGTGGTAGATTCAGGAACCGGTCAGGGCACATTCTCAGGTTTCAGGAGGTGACTATCTATCTGTCTGTCTGTCTCCTTGTCCCCATCTCCCTCTCTCCCTCCCCCACTATCCATCCCTCTCCCCCTCTCTCCCTCTTCCCTCCCTCCTTTAAATTAAGACCTAGAATGCTATTGATTTAAAAAATAAATTAAGAAAGAAAATAACATTAAACACAAAGAAAGAGAGAAAACATAGTAATAGAGAATTAAGTGGCCCCAGGAGCCAGATTACCTTGGTCAAATTTTATTTTATTTTATTTATTTATTTATTTATTTATTTAAATATATTTCATTGATTTTTTACAGAGAGGAGGAGAGAGGGATAGAGAGCTAGAAACATCGATGAGAGAAACATCGACCAGCTGCCTCTTGCACACCCCCCACCGGGGATGTGCCGGCAACCAATGTACACGCCCTTGACCGGAATCGAACCTGGGACCCTTCAGTCCGCAGACCAACGCTCTACCACTGAGCCAAACAGGTTTCGGCTACCTTGGTCAAATTTTAGTTCTAATACTTATTTTGGAAAAATTACTTAATTTCTTTGGACCTTTGACCCTTCATTTGTATGTAAAATGGGTATTATAATAGACTAGAGACCCAGTGCATGAATTTGTGCATGGGTGAGGTCCCTCTGGGTGGCCTGCAGGGATCAGGTTGAAACACTGCCTGCAGCTTCTACCTGCTGCTCTGGCTCATCCTGGCCCCACTGCTCAGGCCTAATCAGTGCCAATCGGGAGAGGCTCACCAGCCATGAGCCCTGCATCTGGCACCCTCCCAAGGGAAGTGACCTGTGGGATTGGGCTGAAATCAGCTATCTGACATTCTCTGAGGGTCTCTGATTGCTAGAGGGTGCAGGCCAGGCTGAGTTACCCCACCAGTGCACAATTGGGCCTAGGAGGGACCACAGGAGGACTTGAGTGAGATGTCCAGCCCATCTCACTCAGTCCCAATAGGCCGGATCCCAGCAACAAGCTTAACCTACCAGTTGGAGCATCTGCCCCTCTGGTGGTCAGTTGAGCAGCCTTAGCATATCATTAGCATAATATACTTTGATTGGTTGTTTGATTGTTCTGCCATTCTGTCTATTTGTAAAGCTGGATATTTTTGCCTAAACATTACTCTGAGTGAATGAATGAATTTTGTAGATTTATTCTTAGTTATGCCTTTCTCATCATTCTGCTTCATTAGGGCTTTAAAGACATTGAAATACATGCACAGCTCTGTTTCAAAAACAGTTTTTCTTTAAAAAAAAAAAGTTTTTCTTGATCAGAATGTTGTCATTTAGCCTTGTTTCCTTACAGTTGGAATGTTAAAGAAATTCATCAGGCTGCTGACTATCTCAAAGTGGAAGAGGTGGTCACTAAATGTAAAATAAAGATGGAAGATTTTGCTTTTATTGCTAATCCCTCTTCTACAGAGATATCTAGTATTACTGGAAACATTGAATTGAATCAGCAGACTTGTCTTCTTACTCTACGAGATTATAACAGTCGGGAGAAATCAGAAGTGTCTACAGATTTAGTTCAGACAAATCCTAAACAAGGGGCTTTAGCAAAGAAGTCATCTCAAACTAAAAAGAAGAAGAAGTCTTTCAACTCGCAGAAAACAGGGCAGAGTAAAACAGTGCAATATCCCAGCAACCTTTTAGAGAAAACATCTGTTGAATTATTTCTAGATGCAAATAAATTGTCCACACCTGTAATGGAACAGGTTGCACAAAGAAATGATAATTCAGAACTTGAGTTGACATCAGTTGTGGAAAATACTTTTCCAACACAAGATATTGTGCAAACTGTTCCAGTGAAACGGAAACGTGGAAAATCACAGCCAAACTGTGCTCTGAAAGAACACTCTATGTCCAATATAGCTAGTGTCAAGAATTCTTATGAGCTGGAGAGCTCTGGGGAAGAGCTGGATCAGAGGTACTCCAAGGCCAAGCCAATGTGTAACACATGTGGGAAAGTGTTTTCAGAAGCCAGCAGCTTGAGAAGGCACATGAGAATACATAAAGGAGTCAAACCTTATGTTTGCCATTTGTGTGGAAAGGCATTTACCCAGTGTAACCAGCTGAAAACACATGTAAGGACTCATACAGGTAAGATGATTTATGGGAGATATAATTGTTTGTATACTGTAACTGAAATAGTGCTTGTAATAGAGAAGTTATTATTCAGTGTTGACTATGATTAAAATTTGATATACTTGTATTCATAAAAGTATTTAGGATGTTGAAGTTTTGAAGATTTCCTTGTAATTGTGAGCAAGTGTTTAATCGCTATTTTATTGTAACTGGTTCTGTAGTCTTTAATACATGAGCTCTTTATACCATTTTCCCTCAGAGTTAAAATAAGCATAAGTTTGGATATTAACACAAAGATTTAAAAACTGATAAAGAGAAAAAAGTAATTACAACTCAGGCCAGTTCTCAGATTTGGCTAACACATTTCACCACCTGCTTCCTAGACTTTGTCAACTTCTGAACATAATATTAGCATTACACAATATTTCTTCCTCAGCATCTACATTTTCCTTGATAGGTACACTTAGATTTGTAGTTTTTAAGATGCAATGTATATTTCTCTCATTGATCACTTTTCACTATTATGAATTAAGAAACACTAATTTCTTTTAACTCCACTGTTTTCAATAAATCTGGAAGAAGAGATTCTATTTGCTTTTTTTTTACTTAAAACAATTTAACATTTTCTGAATACTGAAACTAGTTCTGTTGGACACTTTTGAAAGTTTATGATTTAAGCAACAAAGACAGAGTATTTCTTTCTAAATATCAATTTTATTTACTACTTCTTTTAGGTGAGAAGCCATACAAATGTGATTTGTGTGATAAAGGATTTGCTCAGAAATGCCAGCTCGTCTTCCATAGTCGCATGCATCATGGTGAGGAAAAACCCTATAAATGTGATGTATGCAATTTACAATTTGCAACTTCTAGCAATCTCAAGATTCATGCAAGGTAAAAAACAAAACCAAAAAACATTTAATCTTTGAGTCTGTCATTCACTATAGTCTTATGAATTGACTGCTGTATTAGAATTCAGGACAGTTAAGTTCTAAATGTGGTTCCACTATACAGTATCCTTAACACAGTCAAGGAAACTGTGGTGACTGGACGGAAATAAGATCAGAATGTTATTAAGGTGTCCAGATGGTGTACAGTTTTATAGGCCATTATAAAGCTTTTATTCTTAAGATTGAGAAGTAAGTGATGTGATGTTGCTTGTCTTATAAGAGGATCATTCTGGCTGCTATATTTGGAAATGATTATAGGATTGATTGCAAGAGTAGAAGCAAATTTACCAGTTAGGATACTCTAGGTAAAACCCAAGTGAGAATGATGTTGGTCAGCTAGATTGGTAGCAGTGGGAAAGATAAGTAGTAATCAGATTCTGAATATATTTATAAATGTAAGACAAATAGAATTTGCTGCAGATTGGATGTGGGGCATGAAAGGAAGGAAGGAAAGTTGGGAAGAGGGGAGAGAAGAAGGAAGGAAGGAAGATCAAAGATGATTTTGACATTTTGAGCCTGACCACCTGAAAAGATGGTATTCCCATTAACTGAAATAGAGAAAATTTGTGGATAGAGGATTTAAGCAGGAGTACGGGAGTTGTTAGAAGAATTCTGAATATGTTAAATTTTAGATGGCTATTAGACATCTGAATGGAACTATATAATACAATTGGTTGTCTAAGTCTGGAATTCAGGGTTTAATCTGAAAATATAAATTTGAGAGTCATCAACATACAGAAAATATAAATTTGAGAGTCATCAACATCCATAAACATTGGATGAAATCACCAAGAGAATGAATGTGTATAGACGAGATCAAAGGATTGAAGTTATGAGACACACTAAAGAGTCCTGGGAGATGGACAAGAACTAGCAAAGGTGATGAGGAGGGAACAGCCAATATAAGAGAAAAACCAGAAGAGTGGGTTGCCCCAGAATCCAGGTGAAGAAATAATTCCAGAGGGGAATGATTGGCTTTGTCATACTGTGATGATAGGGAGATGAGGACAGAATTGACTTGGACTTTGGAAAGTGAGAGGTCAGCAATCAGTGCTTCTGACAAAAGCAGTGTGTTAGTAGAGGCTAGTAGAGAAGAGATTAGTAGGGAAGAAACGAAAGAACAGTTGGAGACTCAAGTTTTTGATAAGCGTGAGGAAAGTGGAGGAGCAAGTAGGTCAAGGGTCTTTTTTTTAAGATGGGAGACGTCAGTATGTATGCTACAATCCAATGGGGTAGGAAAAATGGATGATGTAACATGAAGGAAAATGAAGGAGGTAGTATCTTAATTATACAAATGGGAGTAGTGGGATTCAGATGAACTGTCACCCTCAGAGTTAACAAGAAAGAAAGCAAACTATATAGGTACAGATCTCTATAGATAGATGTGATAGTGGAAAATTTATGATTGCTTAAATTTTTCTTGGTGAAAAAGGAAGCAAAGAAATCAGCTAAGCGTGAAGATGGTGAGGAGATGCTGAAGGTTTGAGGAAAGAGTTTTGAAGAGTGAGTGAATGGACAAGGAAAAATAATTGCCTGCAGAATTAGGGGCGCACTTGACAACCATGTAAAGATATGGCAGAACTTTTTGACCTGGTCTCAGAACTGATATTTTGATAACAACCAAACCATTGAACCTGTTGGTTTAAAGTTCATGTAATTGGTCTGTTAAGATGAAATGAACTAAAATACTATATGAAAAATGCTCCAAATTGTTTTACTTATTAGCATATAACTTTATACTTATTTACTAATAGGAAGCATAGTGGAGAGAAGCCATATGTCTGTGATAGGTGTGGACAGAGGTTTGCCCAAGCCAGCACACTGACCTATCATGTTCGTAGGCATACTGGAGAAAAGCCTTATGTGTGTGATACTTGTGGGAAGGCATTTGCTGTCTCTAGTTCTCTTATCACTCATTCTCGAAAACATACAGGTAAGAATTTGATGTGCAGAGACTGTTTAAAACAATGAAAGTTGTAAATAAAAGGGGAAGCTGAGCTTTTACAGATTTTGTAAAGTAGATTACAGACTTTGTAAGTTATACATCGGTTGTGTTTGTGCTTTTTGAAACTTTTTATGCTTATGATTTTTAGATAGCTATTAGCTATAAGAACACTTATTTTCTAAAATAATAAATGGTGACATTTTTATCATTTAACATATACATTAAAATCAGATAATTTTGGCAATATATAAACTTGAATTGAGACATATTTTGTGACCTTAGAAACTCCTTAGCCTCTTGAAGTTTCATTTCCCTTGGACAAACCTATAAAATGAAATTAAGGGGTAGTGGTGGGTTTGGGTAGAACATTGATTTTATAACTTCTTAAGACTTTTATTATACAGACATTCTAATATTTGCAAAGTAAACAGATACTATAAATGTGAAGTATTAGTTTTGAAACAAATCTTATTCAAAGGTTTTTATTTTTTCTAAATTTTATTCCTCTTTAATAATATAGTACATAGCAAGAATTGAAATATGGTTGATGAATTGACATGTTTTTACCATATAAAAATCTAATTTCTTGCCTGATTTTAGCTACTAGAAGGACATTTGCAGGAATAAAGTTTTATTAGATCAAAAGCATCAGGTTACATGAACAGTATAACATAATTACTAATATTCATTTCAGTTGGATTACACTGAAAATACCTCTAAAATATATTATAAAGAGGTTTTAATTTTAATATTTTAAATCAGCTTACTTTAAATTATTGTAATTAATATATATTATATTGGTATAGTACACCACTTCGCTATCTTTTATTTTCATCTAGGTGAAAAACCATACATATGTGGTATTTGTGGGAAAAGTTTTATTTCCTCAGGAGAGCTCAACAAACACTTTCGATCCCATACAGGTCTGTGTTTAGGGAGAATGTATTATTTTTTGTTCTCTCTAATTTCTTTTCATATAAACCTTGACTTTTAAGCCATTATGGACTATATAATATATCTAGGTTGTACTTTTCAGTAATATTTTAATGCATAAATTACACCTTTTCATTTGCTTACTTTTTTAGTTGTTTGAAGTGTGAAATAAATTTGGTCGAGAATTGTGTAGATTTTCTAAGAGGTATGCCAGATAATAGTTTTTTTAAGTGATTTGGATTTAATTGCACAGATATACCAATAAATGAAAAGGAATCAGTTATATAATATTTTCTTATTAAACAGTATTCAGCAAGTTTTAGGAATAAATTTTAATATTGGCATGTTTGTTGTAAAAGGTATAAGTTGTTATTGTAAGTTGTATGAAGAAAATATTAAATGTAGAAAAAGTATTAAAGGAAAAGGCCACTATGAAAATGTGCTGTTATTTTTATTTTTATAAATTACTCCTCATAATTTCTGTTTTGAATAGTGTGAACACCTAGGAAACATTTAATAAATTTGTCAACTTTAAGCATCAGATAGTTCTTATTTCAAGAGAATTATAATTTTGTAGCATTTTATTCTGTCAGGTTTTTAAAAGATTTTCCAATTTGTAAACTACTTGAGAACAGAAACCATAATTATGCTTTCTCCCTCCACTCTATCTCTTAGCCAAGGTCTGGTATTTAATTGCACTTACTAAATGTCTGATAGAAATAAAAGTTTTTGTTTTTGTTTTAGTTTAAAATTTCTGTTAATGAAATGCTCAATTTTCCCTAAAATGGGGATGTTTTACATAAAGTAAAGGAGTGCCTATGTTTATAGAAGTTTTTATTTCACTGTATTAGAACCAGGTGATTAAAATGGTAATTTGAAAATAAATTTAAACAGTGTAGTAATGTTTGCCTTGTGTTCATAAGCATTGATATTCTTGTCTTAGCTTGACTTCTAAAATATTGAGGTTTTAAGCTTTTAACTTATTTTTCAGGAGAAAGACCATTTATCTGCGAATTATGTGGAAATTCTTACACAGATATTAAAAATTTAAAGAAGCACAAAACAAAAGTTCATTCTGGTAAAGGCTTACGTTTTAAAATTTTGGTGATCTCATTATTGATTATAACAGCTTAGATTTTTTAACTAGATATATATGAGAAAAGTAGCTTTATAATTTGTATATAATTTCACTCTGAATTTTCCATATTGATATTCTAATAAATAATATTTAACTATTTTCTCCATTAAAAAATCTGATTTTTTTTTTTAGTGGTGACCACACCGGCAGAGGAGGGAAGTTGGGGGTGATCGGGCCTGCAGGGGAGAGCAGTTGGGGGAGACCAGGACTGCAGGGGAGAGCAGTTGGGGGAGAACAGGCCTGCAGGGGAGGGCAGTTAGGGACAAAGAGGCTGGCAGGGGAGCAGTTAGGCATCAATCAGGCTGGCAGGGGAGTGGTTAGGGGCAATCAGGAAGGTAGGCAGATGAGCAGTTAGGAGCCAGCAGTCCTGGATTGTGAGAGGGATGTCCCATATTGGAGAGGGTGCAGGCTAGGCTGAGGGACACACCCCCTTGCATGAATTTTGTGCACCGTGCCTCTAGTATTACTATACTAATAATTTATAAAAATAAGAGAGCCAGAGTACAACATTTTATGTGTATTGCTTAAAATGAATTCCCTGAAAAAGTTTCACTGTGCTTACCATTTTCTTCTGTCCTGATTAGAAACAAAACAAAATACCAAGCTTCTTCAGTGTATAGAAATGCTAGTGAGTCTTTGATAGGAAACGTAAATATAAGGATTTAATTAGTAACATCTGAAGACTGCATTGGTCATTAATTACACAAAAATTTATTAAGTACTTCTAATGTACACATAACTTCAGGGTCTATGAAGTTGAACAAGGCGTAGTCTAACAACCTTCAAAGAACTTGCAGTCTGGTGTGGGAGACCAGGAATCTAAATCAATATGATTACAAGAAAAAAATGTAGCCTATAATAGAGACACCAAGTGCTGAAGATAAATTACTTCTAAGGTATTGGAAAGAACTAATCCTGGGGAACTTGCAGGACAGAGAAGAGTTAAGAGGATGGAAATGGGAAAGGAAGCGTTCATTCCAGGCAACATTGTGGAGAGAATCACTGGGACAGGAAATTGTAAGCCACATTCTTGATTGAACTGAAGAGTATTCTGCAAGAACTGAGTTACCGAGTTACATTTTTCTACAAGCAAATACACAGTTTTGTCTAACAATAATAGATTGTAATCATGTCAGTACTTTGCATTGTCAGGAGCATGGTAAACCTGGTAGAAAATTTGAAGGCAAATTGTATCTTTAGTCAGTATAACTATTCACTTGAGTAGAGCAGAATTTCCTACCTCTGAAAATATATGAAAGTACCTTACCTCTGAACTTGAATTTACAGACTAGTATAATGTAGTATAATAACAACTAGTTAATAAAGTCAGTGAATAAATACTGTAGAGTATTTATTATATATAATGCTCTATTAGGTACTTTAGTTGAGGATTCAAAGCATACCTAAGTTGAATGTTAAATAGTGATAAGAGAAACTAGAGGCTGGGCCCTCAGCCTGGCCTGTGAGCTGCCCTTTAGCAGTCCGGGAGCCCTCAGGGGGTGTCCCATGCAAGGAGTGGGCTCCCTAAGCCAGTCAGACATCCTTAGCTCCGCTGCTGTGCTCACCAGCCTTCAGCCCAGCTTGTGGCTGAGCAGGGCTCCTGTGGGATCGCACTGACCACCAGGGGGCAGCTTCTGCATTGAGTATCTGCCCCCCTGGTGGTCAGGGCACGTCATAGCGACCGGTTGTTCCACAGTTCGGTCAATTTGTATAATACCCTTTTATTATAAAGGATAGCATGTCACAAGGCAGTATATGAAACACTGACAAATGAGTGGTAAAATAGGTAAGAAGCAACTCAGCTAGGACTAGAATAATTAAGTCCATTTTTATTAAACTAAAAATACACATTTCCTTATTGATTTCAGAGAGGAAAAGAGAGATAGAGATAGAAACATCAATGATGAGAGAGAATCATTGATCAGCTGCCTCCTGCATGTCCCCCACTGGGAATTGAGCCCACAACCCGGGCTTGTGCCCTTGCCAGAATCGAACCCTGGACCCTTCACTCCACAGGCCTATGCTCTGTCCACTAAGCCAAACTGGCTAGGGCAATTTAGTTCATTTTTATTGTGAAGTTGATGATTGAACCTAGTCTCGAAGCCCATGTTGAACTTGTACGGATAACGAGGGATATTCAACAAAAGAGTAGTAGCCTGAGTACAGGTGTGGTGGTTGGAATGCAAGTTCTGGGAATGGTAAGGGTTTTGTTTTGTCTTTAAAGATTGTATAATTTTCCCCCCCCTTCCATTTCAGGGGCAGATAAAATTCTAGATACTAGTATAGAGGATCATCCATTAAGTGAACAAGATTCCATACAAAAAAGCCCTTTGTCAGAAACTTTGGATGTGAAGCCTTCTGATATGACTTTGCCACTAGCCCTTCCACTGGGGCCTGAGGACCACCACATGCTTCTGCCGGTCACAGACAACCAGTCTCTGACATCAGACACCCTGTTGAGGTCAACTGTGAATGGGTATTCAGAACCACAATTGATTTTTTTACAACAATTGTACTGACTTTGTGAGGATTTTGGATTTGCTAAAACATCTCTGGTAGTAAGCATAAACATCTCTGGTAAGGTGCGTATATTCATCTTAAATTACCCTTCCTTTGAGTTGTGGCCATTATTCATTCATTCACTGAAGTAAAGGCACCTGATGCTGTATCCCATAACTGCAATGCTTGTTTTGAGTTTTGGCTTTTATGTCAGTAGCATTATTTTGGGTGGTTAAGTTTCCTTTTCTTTTAGAGCTGCCTAAATTCCATTTTTATTTTGCATTTTAGACTTACCTTTCATTTATTGAAGTGGAATCTGTCAGTTTATATGATTCACTTTTTACCTGTGGGATTTAAAATTTTTCTTCCCCTCAAAATTTAAGTAAAATCCATGATGGTATCAGCACAAGAGTATTGCTGTTACTAAGCTCCATAGACCAATACATAAACTATGAGGGGAAAAAATAAAATTTCATATTTCTGTCCAAGAAAATTTAGATACTGAATAAGAATTGCGCTACTTCTCTATTAATATATTCCATTGGAGATAACTTTTTTAATGAAACAAAAAGAAGTATTTCTCTTAAAAGCTGGAAAAACTGTATATAAATACTTGTTTATTTTAAAACTCACTATTCTGAGAAAACCAATGGTCAGTACTTTCTATTTGAGTTATCTGAGATTACATTTTCAAAATGAATTTAAATAGCTCTTTGTTATTTTCACTTTGTTACAAGACAGTTTCAAATTTGATTCAGGTTATGTTTTAATAGATTTCTAGATTATTGAAGATGAGGGAGTTTTTAAAATTTTTAATAAGTTTCTCTTATACCTGTTGTGCACTTTTAAAATAGAAAATTCTAAGAAGAATTTTCTAAATATAAACAATGCATACTATAAATTACTTGGTTTCTGAATCTATATTATATAGATTTAAGAAATTTAACTTCAATTATAAGTAAACACTTGAGTTTTCAGAAAGCCAGTTTATTAAACATTTTATATTTGAGTGTTCTATAAGTTTTGAGTTTAAAATTTTATAATAAACCACAACATTTGCTGGTGGTTTATAGCTTCATAATAGCCCTTTTTCTTCCTAGTGAACATAGAAAATCAGTATTATTCTGATGATGCTACCACTCTTCCCCATTCTACTTTTCCCACATATTGGTTTATTTTACTGCCTGATCTTTGAACATTATCAGTTTCAGAGTCAGTTTCTATACCGCTAATGGAACACCTTGGTGACATTATATTTTATTTCTGCCATACATTAATTGTGGCTTGTTTTGGTTTTAAACTACACCTATAATAAAGTTAATGTGTTTTCTATTGGTATTGATTCTTTAATTGTATTTCCTTTGGGGTCTTGGTCATAGGAACCAACTAGAGTCCATAATAAAACTACTTCATTCTTGTGAACTGTAAAAATCGTCACCATTTCACAGCACACTCAGCATTTTTACAGTAAATTACCACCAGTAGGATTGACTTAAATTGAATTGAGTTTGAAATATGCCTTATATTTCCATCAAACATAGTATTTAATTTTTTATCCAAGAAATCTAGTTATGCATGTGTATTAATTTAATATGCTGGGCTTAAATATAATTTATAGAGTTATAAAATGTTCAACTAATCTATTCTGGCTTAAATTCAATAGGAATTTATTGGAATGTGAAGATTTTAAAGAAAATTAAAAGACTCAGCCTCTTTAAGAAGTCTGCTGAAATGGAGAGGTTATACTTAATTCATATCTTCATTAATTCAAGCTTCTAATGAACAAAATTTCTTTTTAAAAGCTCTATAATGATGTCATAATTCTATGAGGGCAGTAGTTACCAAACTTCCTCTAATATGATCATTAGCACTTTGCATAATTAGCCTTCAGATTTATTATTTTTAGTATTATTGGATTGGAGTGGTTATAGTTGATTTACTATGCTTTTTTTTTTAATCACATCTTGCTTTTAAATAATTTTATTTTAAATTGGATTGACTTGATGCTCTTCAGAATTGACAGGTAAAGAAAGATTGAAAACTGAATTTCCTGTCTTGTCATTTTTTTATTGCCATCCTATTCTTTATCAAAATATACATACATTTTAGTTGTATTTGCTATCATTCTGATAATCAAATGTGTCATTTTAGTTAAGTTCATCTTTAAATATGTCTATCATAATGCAGTGTTTTGAGAAAGTTGTTCTTGATTATTTAAGTATTACCAAGTTTTTTAAAAAGTGTTTAGGATGCTGAAGATCTTACTGGGAAACAAATTATTTTTTAAGTTTCGTTTTACGTTTGTATGAGACTTTTCCTACTGTATTGTTAGAGGTTAGACTTTTTAAAAAGAAATAATAGATTTTATATACATATATATATATATATATATATATATACACACACACATACATATATAGAACTTATTGCTGTTTTTAAATACTTGTTTTATGTTTCATTTCATAGGATTTTGATAGACAAATTATAGAAAATTGTTTTATTTTTTCTCCAAAAAGGGTTCTATTAGTTCTAATGCAATAATAGTTTACCACTTTTCTATATGTTTTAATTCTACAGAAATTGTGCAAATGAGTAGTTGAAATGTGCTCATATAAAAACAATATACATATATTCATGTCTTTAAATATCCAAAATAGTTCTAACATTGATGCATATCAGAAACATTTATAGAATAATGATACCCAAGCCCCACCTCACCTTTTGCCTACTGAATCAACCAATCTTTGGAACATATCTGTGCTTGCAAAGCCTCACAGTTTATCTTAATGTATACTACACATTGAGAACTATTATCCTAAATATTTTTAATCTTTCCTTTGGGAAGCATTTATAATTGAAGCTCTTGATATAACTTTTCATCTTTTACTTAGAGATTTTGAGTCTCAAACTTACCACCAAGTAAAAAGAAATTATATTTTAATGCAATACCTGTAAATTCTACGTTTTTACTCTTTATATATGAGCATTAATTTCTTTTTTAAAAGTATTTTTATTTCAGAGAGGAAGGAGGGGCAGAGAGAGAGAGAGAGAGAGAGAGAGAGAGAGAAACATCAATGTTGAAAATCTTCAATCCACTGTCCGCAAGCTCGCGCATGCGCGCGCGCGCGTGCGCGCGCACACACACACACACACACACACACACACACACCCATCTGGGATTGAGCCCAAAACTTGGGCATGTGCCTCGACTGGGAATCAAACTATGACCTGGTTCATAGATTGATGCTCAACCACTGAACCACACTGGCCGGGTGTAGCATTAATTTCTTGAGACAATAATATGGTTTACTCTTCTGTCTTCTGTAGTCCCTGCCTTTTTTCATTCAAGAGAGATTTGGTGTGTTGAAAGAATTCAATACTTATCATATAAACTATCATATAGAAATAGGGTATTCATTTTCAAGAAGAATGGGCTAAAACACCCTGGTTGTGAACAGATATTTGGATTAAAATATTTGGCTAGTATTTCAAATGCTGGGAAATTAATGAAATTATTACAGGGGAGAGGGAGAGTTCCCCAACCCCACCTGTTGCATATGGGAATGGAATTCTTGCGATATATTCCAAGAAAAATAATTTTCTGAGACTCACATGGGAGGATGAAATATTATAGAAAGCTCTATTTCTGTGGAATTGCCCCTGAGTTTCCAAGGTCCCATTCCCCTTTGTCCCTTGAAGGAAGAAGTGTAGCTGTGGCTTCAGTAGGGCTAGCATAAAAGCCAGTATCCAGTCTGCATTCCATATTAGGTCATAGTCCAGGCTTGCATCAGGCTAGTTTAGTTCGTATTCCCAGCTGCAGTCCATCAGTCTATTTTATGTGGGGTCAGCATGGCCATGGGCCATGTTTCTATGGATGGAATACAGGCAGGTGCAAAATCAAAGGAACCAGAGAGTCGAGAGTGTCAAATGAGTGAACTCCTTTTGGGGTTTATATATTCCCTAAATTTTCATGGGTGCAATTGTCTCCACCTCTTATAGCCACTGATTTCTGATCCCAGATTTGATGGACAAGTGTCTTCCCTTGGTCACCCCAACTTCACTGCATGTGTCCATCCTCCCATTGTCTATTCCCTTCCCCCAGTAACCTGCAGGAGATGGACCCCTGGGGAGTGTGAAATTAGCTTCCTGGTGACGCTACCCAGGTGACATGCCTATAATGTCTGGCCTCTCTGTTGTTCTTTTTCTATTAATAACTAGCTAATGACAGTGTATCCAAATCAGAATATATAAAGCTACAAAGATAAATAAGGTACATTCCACCCTTAAGTTTACAGTCAAATGGGAAAGAAAAGCCTGAATATAACTGGCAATAAAATAAGTCAGAATGTCGAGTACTGCAGGGGAGGAAAGCAAGAAAGGAAATGTTGAGCAGTCAGAGGGAGTTGAATGGACAAAGAAAGGGCTATTGCTCCCCTAGTTCTGAAAACAAGAAGAGATGGCTGATGGGGAGCCCTTTGCACGCGCTGACTGAAATAGGCAGAATTGAGAGAAAGTATGAAATGGGAATGAGATAGAAGTCCAACATGTCCAGCTCTATGCCTATAACATCTTTTTCTTGTTATACCATCTTTTTTGTTGTTAATTCTCATGCTAGGATATTTTTTTCCATTGAAATTTAGAGTCATTGGAAGGGAGGGGGAGAGTCAGAGAGAGGAATGTTGATTGGTTGCCTCCTGCACACACCCCAACCGAGGCTGGGGATGCAGCCTGCAACCAAAGTGCTCACTCTTAACTGGAATCAAACCCAAGACCCTTCAGTCTGCGGCCCAGTCCTCTAACCACTGAGCGAAACTGGCTAGGCTTAGCTGTACCTATATGTACCTATACCATCTTACTTGCAGTAGTCCTCTACCCTTAGCCTATGCAGAAGGAATGGGACTGGGTAGCCTGGTTTATAATCCATGTTCTTAACACATGAAAACCACAGTTGACTGCTGAAGGGCAGGGGTTAGACAGCCACATTTGTAACACGTGATTCCATACCATGACCACAGCTAATTGAAAACTACCAGCGAGAAATAATTCTTAGGCCAGACTGAGCTAGGTAGGTTCTTTTTAAAATACATGTTTTTATTGATTTTAGAGGGAGAGAAAGGGAGAGGGCTAGACAGAAATATTGATGAGAAAGGCACATTGTCTCCTACGTGTTCTTCCGCCCCCTCTGCACACACAGTATCAAGCCCACAACCCAGGCATGTTCCCTGGCTGGGAATCAAATTGGAGGACCTGTTGGTTCATGGGTTGGTGCTTAACCAGAGTCACACCAGCTGGTTTACTTAGGTTCGTTTTATTTTTATTTCGGAGAGGAAGGATAAGGGACAGAGAGGTAGAAATGTCAAAGAATCATTGATTGGCTGCCTCCTGCACGCCCTCTACTGGGGATCGAGCCCTAAACCCAGGCATATGTGCTGACTAGGATTCAGAGGCCGGTGCTCAACCATTGGCTGGGCAGGCTAGATTCTTTCTCATAAATTTGGTCTATGAAATTCTGAGACCATTACGTACTCATGTAAATAAAAAGGTCATTTATAACTGGCCCATGGTCAATGAAGCAAGCCAAAAGAAACGGAATAAGCAGAGAAAGCTGATTTGTAGAGCAAAAGCAAGGGGATGAAATTGGTTTGCAGAACCAACTGAGGCCCTGTGAGAGAGGAGTGGCCCTGGGTTTCTAGCTTTTCAGGTCCATTCCTGAGACACAACTATGCTTTTTCTTATCCTTGGATTTCACTGACTTTTGCCTGATACATCCTTAGTAAATCCCCTTTTCTTTCAAAATTTTAAGTACATTTTTATTGATTTCAGAGAGAGGGAGAGAGAAACATCAATGATGAGAGAGAAGCATTGATTGGCTGCCTCCTGCATGCTCCCTACTAGGGATCGAGCCCACAACCTGGGCATGTACCATGACAAGGAATAGAATCATGTGACCTCATGGTTCAGAGGTTGATGGGGAACCAGTGAGCAGCATCAGCCGGGCATAATTCTCCTTTTTCTTAAACAGGCTTGAATCAGTTCGAGTTCTTGCAGTTAGACAGCTTAAGACAGCTACTTTGCTTGTTTGTTTTAAATATATTTTATTGATTTTTCCACAGAGAGGAAGGGAGAGGGATAGAGAGCTAGAAACGTCGATGAGAGAGAAACGTCGACCAGCTGCCTCCTGCACACCCCCCACCGGGAATGTGCCCACAGCCAATGTACATGCCCTTGACTGGAATCGAACCTGGGACCTTTTTAGTCCGCAGACCGACGCTCTATCCACTGAGCCAAACTGGTTTTGGCTGACAGCTACGTTTTTGATCCTTAGTGACTGGGGTGGTGATGCCAAGAACGTATATGAAAGAGAAAACTGTTATTGAGGATATACTGAGTTTGACTGGAGATGAGATATTCACATGAAGCAGTAGTTGGAAATGGGGCCTGAAACCCAGGAGAGGTAAAACTGGAGAGGTAAGACCTTGCAGCATACAACTAATAATTATTGTGATAGAAGTGATTAAGGCAGCTCTGGGAGATGGTACAGAAGAACAAAAGATGAGGACAAAATATTGGGAAAATGCATTTAAAGAATGAGTCAAGTATAAAAGGAGATGGAAAGTACTAACAAGAAAAAAAAATGGCGGTTCAAGCTGGTCACATGTAAAGAAAAATTAAATAGGATGTCAGTCAAAAACAACATTGGGTAGGGTAATTGGGAGTAAAAGCCAGGTGGATGTAGTTTGAGTAGTAGATAGGACATAATGAATACTATTTAGTTTGAAAAGCAGAGTGTGTGGCACAAACAGTATCATTATTTTATCAAATACCTAAAGTATAAAGTAATGCTTAAACTCATGGAATATTGCAGTCTTATTTCTGCTCTTTCTCTCTCTTAAATGGGATCCTGATATATGGAGGAGGGAGCGTTATATGAACACCAAGGAAGTCAGTGTCTTCAGCTCTTCCATTCTCTGGGCGTCTTGCTGGCCTCTGGTGCCCTGAGCAACAGCTTGTAAATTGTGTGATCAGGTTTTCCTGAGCCTGGTCAGAGCCTCGGAAGTTCTTGGCTGCACCGACCTCACCTAGGTTTTCTTAGGTATGGAGAACTCTGAGGCTTCTGCAGTTGTCAAGCAGCCTGGTTGCAGGTTTACCTCCCTGTGGGCTCCAGGTAAACCTACTTGCTTCCCAGTCAGCTGCCTTCTGAGTCTCCTCTTGGGAGAATGTGGGAACTTAGTGAGACATCGCCATAGTACACAAGAACTGGAAGAGGCCTGGAAAAGCATTTAGTGCCAAGGTTTACTTGACTGTCCTAGCCTTAGGAGGCTGTCTTCCAGAATGCTGTAGACTCGTCTACTGCTCAGCATATTCTAGAATATTTCAACGCAATAAAAGATGGGCTACTGCTACATTAAACAACATAAATGAATCACAGTAATGTTGAGCAAAAGAAGTCAGATACAAAATGTATATACTGTTTGATGCCATTTATTTAAAATGATTAAACAGACACATTATCTGGTGTTAGAAGTCAGGATAGAGGTCTATTGGAAGAGGTTTGGAGGCAGTTGAGGGAAGCTTGTGATTTACTCTTTATCTGTGTCATAGTTAACATAGGTGGGTAATTTTGTGATCATCTAGCTGTTCAGTTAAGATTTTTGTATGATTGCTATATGTCCATTTAAAAGATATGTATATATATATTTTTTCTTTTAATTTGAAGAATGAGAAAACCAGAACATTAGTTTTTAAACTGTAAAGAGGTGGAAGGTGACCTGGATTGTAAAATGCAGATTCTACAGGCTGCCTAGAAATTTTGATTCAGTAGGTCTGACTCTGAGAATATGTATTTTAAACATTTGTCCGGGTGACTGATGTTCCACACTTCTTTAAAAATGCTATTTAGTATCTGTAGTTTGACAAACTGTGATCACTCTCTGGAGAGATGTTCAAGTGTAAGAAATTTTTTAATATATTTTTATTGATTTCCAGAGAGGAAGGGAGAGGGAGAGATAGAAGCATCAATGTGAGAGAGAATCATTGATTGGCTGCCTCCTGCAGGCCCCCTGCTGGGGATCGAACCCACAACTCAGGACCTTTATTTCTGCAGGCCAACACTATCCACTGAGCCAAACAGGGCAGAAGTTTGTCATATTGTCATTCAAGCTTGAGTTTATTGGATCTTTATAGTATTTCCTCATGAACTTAATGTTTTCCAAATGTAATAACAGTTTAAAATGTTTGTATTTTTTCCCTATAGCATGATTTTATTGCACTTACTGAATTCTGTAGTTTTTCAAATATGATTAAAAAACAAATTTTATTCAACTTTCTATTGCATTTTTAAATCATAGAACCACTTTGGCTTTTCTGTGGCATACAGCTTTTTAGACATACGTATTTAATTCTGGATCTATTCAGCATGTAATAAAGAACTTTGTAAAACCATTAGTTTTTATATCTGCAGAAGAGAGATATTAAAACAGAAAGAAAAGTTTTGAAACGTGGAGAAGAACTTGGCCACACAAAATTTGATAAAATTTATCTACAAAGTAAAATCAGTAACTAGTAAAATCATTAAGTATAAGTGTCCAGATATAGTCTGTGGTCTATACAGTTTTACTTATTCCATTTTAAACATTTGTTGACAGCAAATGTTCAATAAATGTTTCTGCACCAATGGAAGGTCATATCTAAAATTCCATTACCAGACGTGGTCGTTTTCTTAAATATAACCTATAAACAATCTTTACCTTTAAAAACAAAAAGCCCACCTTGCCCTGGCAGGCGTGGCTCAGTGGTTGTAGATTAGATTCCCAGTCAAATGCACATACCTAAGTTGCAGGTTTGATCTCTGGCCCTGGTTGGGGCAAGTGCAGGAAGCAACAAATCAATGTGTCTCTTACATCGATGTTTCTCTCTCTCCCTCTCCCCTCTTTTCCAGTCACTTAAAAAAAAAAAAAAAAATCAGTGGAAAAAATATCCTCAGGTGAGGATTGACCAAAAATTAAAATAAAAACCTAGAAATCAATTTCATACATTTTGTTACTAACAAAAACTATTGAGTGTATATTTATCAAACAGTTCCAGATGTTTTAAGATCTTGTTTCTCAGCAACTCAATAGCAATCACATCTGTCCTGGATAAAGCATGATAATGAATTTCTTAAGGCATTTAGGTGTTTTCTGCTCAATGACTATAACATTATATTGAAAATATAAAGTGAGAAAGATAGAACTCCAAAAGAGAGAACTCTTAAAAAGCTCACTGGTAGCACTGGCTTGTTTGGAAAGTATACTTTTATATGTATTTGTATATGTGTATATTTACACCTATTTACCTTATCTGTGAGATTGTATCAACACCCATCTGTAATACCTAAATAAGACATAAAATGTTTTTCAACCCCCAAACCCCATGGAATTCCCTGAGAATCTACCACCTGAAACCTTTTTAGCACTTTATGACAACTTATAGTTAGCATACTTATAATGACCTTTTCTTGAGTGCTATTTTACTACTTGGTTATATTTATAAAAAGTTCCTTGATTTCTTCCTTCAGGGTATAAAAATTGTAGTTTCTATTTTGTAAAATTTCCTTTTAAAAATTGCAGTATCCAGTTTTTTCATAACGGATAATACACAGTTTAATATAGCCATATCTTTTACATGTTTGATAAAAGTAACTTGTCCTAATTTATGAAATAGGCAATAAAATGTTCATTTCTGTGAATATAATAAGTCAAATGTGTGAAAATTATTTTAGAGCTGTTTGTCATAGCTGGTGGCCTACTGGTACAAGGCTGAAACCTGCATTAGACGAGTGGCTGAAAGCTTCTCCATAAGTTGGTGTCCAGTAATAGTGCCTTTTAAGGCCATTGGAGACTTCTGAAAGATACATACGTCCATCCACCTTATATGGCTGTACATCTGTATCGTCTGGTTTTAGACGGCCCATTTCAATTAACTTTGAATATGCCTGATATTTTTAAGAAAGAAAAACTATATCATTCAGAAAATAGTTTATTCATTTTACAATACTTAAGACAAATTGGCTGTGCTAATTTGCAGTTTATAATAAAGTATTCTGAATAACATTGCTGAATTTTTATACTTTACAGGTACTGTAGTTAGGTTTTTATTCATTTAATTTCACACAATGAAATTAAAATTTTGTAAAAACATCTCTAATGTGTTTATTTTTTATAACTCCCCAAGTTACCAATTCTCTGTACGCCACTTTTGTGGACTGAAAAGTCCCATGTTAAAAAATGTCAAGTCCCACAGAGGTTCTTAAATGAAGGAGGAGGGCTATTGTATATGTCCTTGAAGATCTGATGATAACCAGGGATCCATTTCTCAGAAAATTAAAGAAGCACAGATTTTGTCATATAACTATATGGAATTCATGAACTTGCTAAAGCTAATCTACATATTTAGGGTAAGAGAGATAATCCCCATAGTATTAGATGCTGGCCAGGCTGGCGGCCTAATTTTATCTTCATTGGAGAAATTACAATACTTTGCATATTGCTTATTGATCATGGTATCTGTGTAAGGTTGTCATAAAAGCAAGTTTAACTGGTTTGTCAGTAAGGTTGCAATTACAGAGAAAGGCAAAAATTTAGACAGTAAAAGATTTTAAAGTCTAGCTGTTTTTTGCTTTAGCTTGTCATTATTAGTTGTAAAAACTTAGCTTCTAGTATGTGATCTTTATATACATACCAGAGGCCCGGTGCCTGAAAATTTGTGCCCAGCCTAGCCCCTCTCACAGTCCAGGAGTCCTCAGGGGATGTCCTGCTGGTGGCTTAGGCCCGTTCCCCCACTGCAGGAAGTGACCATATGATCGGGGAAGCCACTGCCCCCATCACCCTGCTGCTACTGCCACTGCCAGCCACCGCAGCCACCAAGGTGTTTTCATCAACATGGACTCCAGTCCCTTCACCATGAAAAAATGACAAACTTTCTTTAGGCATTTTCAAGATGTCTCTTTCATAGGATATGGCATTTCTTTTTTTTTTTTATCCTCACTTGAGGATATTTTTGTATTGATTTTTAGACAGCGTGGAAAAAAGAGGGAAAGACGGAGAGAAACATCAAAGTGAGAGGAACACTTTGATTGGTTGCCTCCTGCATGAGCCCTGACCTGGGCCCCAGCCAGGAAGAAACCTAGGTTGATCAGAATCGAACTTGGACCCTGCGATCTGCAGGCCGAGCTCTATCCACTGAGCCAAACCGGCTAGGGCAGGCGATGACATTTCTTAGCCCCTCCAGCAGTGGACCTTTGTTTTTTTCCTCTAGGAGTGAGGTGGAAAAACCTTAGATCACCGTCTTAGATTCTTATTATGCAAGTTACCAAGAACGCTGTGAGTGGTGGCGTACGGGGAGCTTAGCCAATGAGCTGTGAGAAAGGGGTTTCCTCTGCAGCTCACATGCAGAGGCGGGACTGCCGGCGCACCGCAGCTGGCAGGCCCTCTTCTCTCCAGGCCTGTGCCATCCGTGGCTTGCCTCACTGTGGCAATCCCTCCTGCCCACCTGCACGTGCAGCCTCCTGCTCAGCAGTCATGACATTACAGCGTCCCAGACACAATTTGTGTGTGTGTGTGTGTGTGTACATATATACGTGTGTGTAGCACTTGATATTTTTTGCTATTTCAATCAAAAATCCAGTAGCTAATTTTTAGGATTTAATGTTAAAATTTATCAAAATTGTAGTGTCTCGCTCTACTTTGTAATCATTCCTAATGCACTTGTACACAATGTAAATAATTTTAAGTAAATATCTAATGTCACAGAGAAGACCCTAGAAAATATTTTCAGTAAAGAAAAAAACTTACCACACATGTAGCCTCATCAAATTTGTTTCCCCAAATGTAGATATTAGAGAGAGTGGCATTTGTTTTCATTGACTCTGAAAGTGCAACAAGCCCTTCTCCCTTTATGTTGTTGCTGACTACTGACAACCTGTGGAAAAACAAAAAGTAATCTTGGAAACTAGTATTTCCACAAAAAGAGAATGCCTAAGTTAGCATCTTTTATTGCATACAGGTTATTTTGTAGTCTCAGCGTTATTCTTTTTTTTTTTTTTTTAATATATTTTATTGGTTTTTTTACAGAGAGGAAAAGGAGGGATAGAGAGCTAGAAACATCGATGAGAGAGAAACATCGACCAGCTGCCCCCTGCACACCCCCTACCAGGGATGTGCCCGCAACCAAGGCACATGCCCTTGACCGGAATCGAACCTGGGACCTTTCAGTCCGCAGACCGACGCTCTATCCACTGAGCCAAACCGGTTTCGGCAGCATTATTCTTAAATACGTTTAATGTAATAGTCAAAATACTGACTATGTATTTCCTCAGACCTGAGAAACTTAGTTTTCTGCTTGTATGCTTCATGCCCCTAGTAGAGTTACCTACATTGTGGAAATTGTTTTATAATTATCCAGTAAGTGTTTGGGGGTAGATTTTTTTTCATCCAAGTAATTCTTTAGTAGAGAGAGTGCAAAGGGATGGGAGAGAGGGGAGAGAGAAACACTGATTGATGTAAGAAAGATACACTGATTGGTTATCTCCCACACTGCACTCACCCTCACTGGGGCAGGAATTGAACCCAAAATCCTTTGGTGCATAGTCTGACCACTAACCACTGAGCAACACTAGCAAGAGCAATAATATTTTCTTTGATTCATTCTTGATTTTTAGAATTCAGGTTAAACAGTGAAAGCTGTTTAATTATTGAATTGAATATTCTTATTGATTTCAAGGAATCCTAACTAGAATCAATCTAATTTTTAAAGGTACCTTTGAAAATTAGAAGAAATATATACTGTACACTTAATATGACAGTTTAGAAAATGAGTTTATCATGAATCTTAAGAGTTAAGTGGTTTGATGTCATATTTAAGTTTTTCTGTTACAAAACCATACTAACGCTCTAAGAGTCCTGTTGTGTGAAGCAAGAGTTTCACTGAGATTCTTTGCTCCTGCATTTTCTATTCTGTTAAAAGAAAGATCTATTACTTCCAGGGTAGTATTGCTTTTTAGTACATCGGCCAAAAACACCATTCCATCATGAGTTATTTTATTGCTGGAAAAGAAAAAATATGTAGTTATAATGAGTGGCCCGGTCCACAAATTTGTGCACATTGGAACTAATTAGAAGGAATATTTTAATATCACTATTCGCCCTTTATAATAAAAGTGTCAACCAAATTTATGATATACAATGACAGATTGAAACACATGTGTGCAACTGGTACTAGCAATAGCTTTATATGTATCACACATGCAAGAGCCAGCTTAGCTTTTTATATCCTATATAATAAAAGCCTAATATGCTAAGTGTCTGGTTGTCGGTCTCCCATTCAACCAATCAAAGCATAACATGCTAATGACATGCTAAGGTCACTCAACTGCTCGCTGTGATGTGCACTGATCAACAGGGGGCAGTCAGTTGACCAGTTGCTATGCCGTGTGCTAATCACCAGGGGGCAGATGCTCCAACCAGTAGATTAGCTTGCTGTTGGGGTTCAGCTGATTGGGACTGAGCAAGATGGACTGGACACACCCTGGAGCCTTCCCACATCCCTCCCTGGCCCCAATCATGCACTGGTGGGATCGCTTGGCCTGGCCTGTGCCCTCTTGCAATCAGGGCTGAGGGACCCCCTCCCCCCAAGTGCATGAATTTTGTGCACTGGGCCTCAAATATAGAATAAACTTGCTTAATTAGACCTGCTTTCTGATATAGCTAAACTTTTTCCAGCCCAGTAAAGCACCCCAACTTCTCTTTCAGGTAATTGTCAGCAACACAGCAGTAAATAACAACATAAAACATATTATTATAGATCACGCAGGGAGAACAAAGGGTAAAATATTTAACTGTAGCAGTGTTTGACTATATTCTGTGTAATGAGAAAACCTTGAAGCCATTTTCAAGGTCCATCATTTCTTCTCAGTCATTTCTAAACTTTCTAATCTCCATTTTCCGGCTAATGAAGTCTCCTAGCTGCCTACTCCAGGACTTCTGTGAGGATCAAATGAGAGGAGGCATGGGAAAATGCTTCACAGACATTTGGTTCAAGTGTGAAATGTTTGCTCCTGGCTATAAAGCAAGTCATGTTCCTGGGCTGAAGAAACTTCAAGGCTAGTCACTAGGAAGAAGCCGGGCGATGCTACGTGATGTCATTACCCGGTGCATACAGCAACCGTTTCTGGGCTGGGTTGTGGGCTGCATTTGTGCCATGGGGTCTCAGCAGTGTCAGCTACAATATGGTGAGGTGTCGCTCCAGGGTGGTAGTAGGGCCTGTGTCCCACTTGGGGGAAGCTGAGTGTGAGTTTGTGGGTGCCAGATCAGTATTGCTGTTTGTTGTTAAATGGCCTGTTAGAGGAAGCCTGGCGTTGCTACATGACGTCACTATCCAGTGCCCATAGCCATTTCCAGGCTGGGCTGGGCTGGGCTGTGGGCCACATTTTGCACCACAGGATCTTGGTAGCATCAGCTATGATTTGGTGTACTGTTGCTTCAGGGTCCACGGTGTCATTTCTCTGTAAATGGCCACTGTACATCATGGCAGCTCCTGCATTGAGCGTCTGCCCCTGGTCGTCAGTGCACATTATAGCGACTGGTTGGATGGTTGGACACTTAGCATATTAGCCTTTTATATATAGATATTTTAAAATATAAAGTATTTTTAAAATATATATTTCTATTGATTTCAGAGTGGAAGGGAGAGGGAGAGAGAGATACATCAATGATGAGAGAGAATCATTGATCAGCTGCCTCTGCACGCCTCCTACTGGGAGTTGAGCCCATAACCCAGGCATGTGCCCTTAGCTGGAATTGAACCAACCCATAACCCTTCAGTCTGCAGGCCAACGCTCTATCCACTGAGCCAAACTGACTAGGGCTGAAATATTATTTTATTCATAGAACATACTTAAAAACTTACAGTGATAAATAGTACTTTCTATTTCATTAAATATTTATTTTACTCAATTTCCAAAAAAGTTAATATTTGTCATAAAATGTTGCTTCCATTCTGGTGTTTATAATTAAATTGCTTACTCAAGTTATTAGGTGATTAATATCAATATAAACTAAATAAATTCTAAGGCTTAGGATAAAAAATTGGCAACAGCGATTATGTTTTCTAATCTTTGTAATTAGTGTCTAACAAAATATGAATATTGATCGACTATTCCCAGACTTGAACTACTTACTGTATAAATTATTACCTACCAGCTGACATCAAGGTAGCGCAGGCTTCTGTTCAAATATAGTGCATCACATAACTGTTTTAGGCCAGGATTTTTCACATTATGCTTACTCAGGTGTAGTGTAACAAGGCTGTGATTCTCCTTTAACATGTGGCCTAGATGGACTGTGGACTCTTCCTAAAAAATAGATAAAATCGTTTTTCTAAAGTATAATTTTGAAGTAGTGGATGTTTGTTCTGGACATATATCTTTTTATATGTTTTTATATGTTATATGTTTTTATATGTTTCTAAGACAGTAAAGTGATATCTTTACTGTCTTAGAAACAGGCAGCAGGCACTTGCAAAATGCAGTTACTAAATGATGTAAAAGAGGCTAGTTTTAAAAACCATAATAATCATTAAGAAAAAGAATAATTCCAAAAGGAAAAAAATCAAACCAACTGGTCTTATGACATAGTGAGCATATTGACTCCCTTACTGCTGTCCACTCAAGTCTCTAAACCACATGTGTCAAACACAAGGCCCGCGGGCCAAATCCGTCCCGCCAGGCCTTGCAATGTGGCCTGCACCGCGCTGTCATCACTGCACTCCACTGCGTTTCCATCATAATGACAGTTTATGACTGTTCAGTAAACCATTCGGCCCGCGATTTAGGCTGGATTTTAGATTTTGGCCCCTTCTCTGATTGAGTTCGACACCCCTACTCTAAACCATTCCTGACTCTCCATATATTCCTAAACTTTGTTCTTAGTCTCCTCCTAATAGACAAGATACAAAGACATTTCTTAGTCTCCACTCTATTTTTAAAATACACTCAATTTTAACCCACTGATATATTCGATTCCTCCTTTTATAATCATCCCAAATGTCTAAATACAGTATATCTTAATCTGTTTTCTTGTCACTGGAAGAATTTTCTTAAAATGTATCTTATTGATTTCAAAGAGGGAGAGAGAGAGAGAGAAATATCAATGATGAGAGAGAATTATTGATCAGCTACCTCCTATGCATCCCCCACTGGGGACAGAGCCTGCAACCTGGGCATGTTCCCTGACCGGGAATCAAACCTTTATATATATATATATATATATATATATATATATATATATATATATATATATATATAATATATATTATTGATATTTTACAAAGAGGAAGGGAGAGAGAGAGAGAGCTAGAAATGTCGATGTGAGAGAAACATCAACCAGCTGCCTCCTGCACACTCCCTACCGGGGATGTGCCCGCAACCAATGTACATGCCCTTGTCCGGAATCAAACCCTGGACCTTTCAGTCCACAGACCGACGCTCTACCACTGAGCCAAACTGATTTCGGCAAAACCTTGACCTCTTGGTTCATAGTTCAAGGCTCAACCACTTCAGCCAGGCTGGAAGACTTTAATTCCAAAATATAGCTGTTCCCAGGCAAAAGGAATATAACCTCAATGAGGATTTGAATACCAAGCATTTCAAATTTTTAACAATCAAAATGTGTCTTAAAATGAATGGGCCCAAGTATTTTCTGGTCCTCTTGAATGATAGTTGAATTTGTAGTAAGTTTTATAGTCACTAAAATGCTGACCATAAATACAATAACTACATATGCTTTAATTATGTAAATGTACATTAAGAAAAACTTTAAAAGTTAAATGAAACCACATAGCAATAGCACGTGAGCTTTACAATAAAACTGCCCAACTGCTAGCTTTACCTTTTACTAGCTATATTACTGGGCAGATTATTTCACCTGAGTCTGTTTCCTTTTCTGTTAAATAGGTAAAATTATACTCCCACCAGAATTAAATAAAAGTACCTGCACAAAGTAAGTTCTAAAGGAAACTGCAAAGCATTTATTCCTTCAATATTCTATAATCTTGTATGTGGTTTGCTTATATTATTGCTTTGACAATGAAAAGATACACCCAAGCGGAAGCTGTAGTTACCAACCTAAGAAATGCAAACTGAACCCCTAGGCCAACCTTTCGGACCTCATGGACCATCGGTTGGTGGCTGGCGACTGATGCCCCAGGGAGTCCAGTGTTGCTGTGGGTGCTGCCTGGAATGGAGGACATACTACATGCATATTTGTGTTGTGCATCTTGATTGCATTTTTAGGTCAAGAAGTTTGAAAGAGAGGACTAGTATCATGTAGATACAGTAAAGGGTTTTTTTGTTGTTGTTTTTCTTTTTTAGCCCCATTCATTAAGTTTGTGACTTAATTTGCCTAGAGTGGCACCTGGCATTGATGTTTGTCTATTCTCCCCAGATAGTGAACAGTAAAATCCTTAAGTGGAATAAATTTGCAGGTTCACATTTCAGAACTGCGAAGTATGAGGCCAACAAGCCATTTAAGAGGAGAGCAGTACTCAGGGAGGGTGGGGACTGCCTTGGAGAGGAAGAGAAAGCAGAGTGTAGCTGACTGCCCGGAAGTTCCAGACTGAGAGTAAGGGTCTGGGCTTTTAATTACTATTTTGGGGTGGATTGGGGAGTAGTGAAGCCACTCAGCATATGATTTCATAGAGTTTAACATTTATTTCCTTGGGACATTTAATCCAGAAAATGTTTAGCCTTCAGATCCGTCATGCCCTCAATCTGAGAACCTTCCCAGCTGCTCCTCATCCCTCTCTATTGATTTTGCTGCCCGTCCTCAAGCTCCCAAGATCCCCTAGTCATATCACCCTTCAAACTTGTTCATCGCATCCCATGTAGACGGGAAGCTCCTTGAAGACAAAGGCTGAGTATATGTTTGACTTCTTAGTCTAACACCCAGAGTTGTGTCTGGTTTAGGGTTGCATTCAAATGTTCATTTTTAAAGGTGACTTTAAAATTTATTTATAATGATTTTAGAGAATGAGAGGGAGAGAGTTAGAAACATCAATGATGAGAAAATGATGAGCAGATTCCTGCATGCCTCTTACTGGGGAAGGACCCCGCAACCCAGGCATGTGATCCAACTGGGAATCCAACTGTGACCTCCTTCTGGTTCATAGGTCGATGCTCAACCACTGAGGACACCAGCCCAGCAGATGTTTACAAATGAATGAATCCCCAGTGAAGCAGTTCACTGAATGCTTACTTTGAGTCAGGTACTTTGCTGGTCTTTTATTGAAGGGTGCTTGTATTTGAGGATTCTGTATTTGTTGAACAGATTGTATTTATGTACATGAAGCAATTAACATGTAAAATTCCAAAAATTTTGATACAGGAAAGTGCAGAAATGATTCATAGAGAGAGATCTATGCAAAGAATGCAAAACATGAATATTAAAAATACTTTAAGAATATAGTTAATTCTTGCCGAGGCCGGTTTGGCTCAGTGGATAGAGCGTTGGCCTGCGAACTGAAAGGTCCCAGGTTCGATTCCGGTCAAGGGCATGTACCTGGGTTGCAGGCACATCCCCAGTGGGGGATGTGCAAGAGGCAGCTGATCGATGATTCTCATCGATGTTTCTAACTCTGTTCCTCTCTCTTCCTCTCTGTAAAAAAATCAATATAATATATTTTTTTAAAAAAAGAATATAGTTAATTCTCACCTAGATGAAATGGCTCAGTGGTTAAGTGTCAACCTATGAATTAGGAGGTCACGGTTCGATTCCCAGTAAGGGCAGATGCCAGGGCTAAAGGCTTGATTCTCAGTGTGGGGCATGCTGGAGGCAGCTGATCAATGATTTTCTTTAATCATTGATGTTTCTATCTCTCCCTCTCATTTCCTCTTTGAAATAAAAAAATATATTTTTAAATATATAGTTAATTCTTAATAACTCATACTAATGAGGAAAATGACATAGATAATTTAAAGACGACAAAGTACTTTGAAAAAAATTTTAGTAAGTATTCTGTTTTCGTTTAGATCAATAATAAAATGGCTTCTTGTTTACTAGCTTTTTACAACTGACAAGGAAGGAAAACTATCTAAAAGAATTTTAAGGAGCAAGAAGCCTTGAAAGTAGGAACCACATTTTATCTGTCTGTTTCCAGCATGCAGCTTACCTAAAGGAGCAAGTTCAGACTTCCCAGACTGTTATGCACACACATTTCTGCCATGATTACCCATGATTTCAAAAATGTAATGGTTCAGTCACCGCAATAGAATAGAAATAAACAGTAAAACAGTTTACACCCACCTTATATAATAATCCAGCCTTTAAAACTTTAATCTTTTATTCTTTCACTAGACGTCTGGTGCATGAAAATTCATGCACTGGAGGGGGGTCCCTCAGTCTGGCCAGCTCTCTCTTACAGTCCAGGAGCCCTCAGGGGCGGGAGGCAATCTGGTGATTAGGGGAAGGCAATGCCCCTATCATACCTCTGCTGCTGCTACTGCCAGCAGCGCAAACCTCGACCAGCCCTGGATACCTGAGCCTCTGGCAGCACTGGGTGGCTGGGCAACTCACCATCTGAGGCTTGCCTGCCCCTCGGGTGTCAGCTGGGCAGCTGACATCTGAGGTTGCCTATGTCTCAAGCCGACCTTAGGCAGCTGGGCAGCCAACATCCAAAACTTGCACCGGCAGCTGGGGGGCTGAGGGTGGGTCCGGCTGCATCACGTACCTGCTGCCCCCCGGCTGGGTTGAAAGGACTGTGGACTCCAGCAGGGCTGAGGGGACTAGGTGGGCACCGCCATCTTTGTGACAACATGATGGTCAATTTGCATAGCGGTATCCCCTCTTTATTTGATAGGATTGAACTACTTTGCCTATCACAGGTTTACTCACTGAGAATTTGAGTTTCTGAGAAGAAAAAGAATTATATGTTTGCTGCTAAATAAGCAACATCTAAAACATATTTAAGTCTCGTATCAAGAAGTAATAATTTTCCTTTAAAATATTTTTTTATAAATAGTAGATTACATTCTAGAAATACAATGCATTTGTGAATGTTGACATAACATTCAGTAAGCAGTACCTTCATTTTATTCGCATGTGGTAATAACTACTGTTACTGGGGATACATACCTGCTCACCAAACAGTATAGGTCGGTTTAGGTTTATTCCTTTAATTGTCTGGTTCTGAGACAGGACTGTAGCAAATGCTATCACACTCTGCATTCCCTAAAAACAGGTAAATTCATTAAGGAAACTGACAAAGTATATAAATTAACTCCCTATAAATAAGTATTTCAAGATTGATAATCTGGAATCTGATAAATCAAAATTGTGGCTTAAAGATGTTTAAGCATTTCCTGCTCCTTAATTATAGATTGACCAAATTCAGATAGAACTGTTATGCTCTTTTCTCCCTGCCCTGACACCTATTGATAACATGCATGAGGTGTTTCAGGATCTGAGAATCTGCTAGGGTGTTTGCCTCTAGGTTTGTTCCTAAGCCCTCAGATTCATGAGACTCCCAGCTAGGGCTCTGTTTGACGGAGAACACCTATCCTGTGCCAGCATTCTTTTATCATCATGCTTTAAGTGTACATGGGAAGAAAGGGTTACTGATCACATGTCCACCGCTCCCACAGGCCTCCCTCTCTACCCTATTGGGTGGGCCTAATTACACAGCTGTGTTACCATAAAACCTGTGCTTCCATTCACTCCCCCAGTCCTCTGACCCTCCCATCCAGCTAATCAGTGAGTCTTACAGATTCTACCTCTGTCTCAGATTAGGGAACCTCTGTGGCCACTTCCCTACCCCCAGTCCTCATCGCCCATGTGGGCGACTGCAGTAACTTCCTCTGTGGTCACTGGGTTTCCTCTTGCCACCCTCTCATTCTCCACAGAGAAACCAGAACGATCTTTTGAAAGCACCAATCAGATCATGTCACCCCTCAACTTAAGGCCTTTCCATGACTTGCATTTATAATAAAATCCCCTCTGCTTCCCATGACCCACGTCCACAACCCACACAACCTTTGTTGAAACTGGCCCCTAGTAAACCCCTCCACCTTCACTGGGAGGCACTCTTTTAACTCCTGGCCAGCCTCTGTCTTTTCAGTTCTTAAAACCTGCCAGACTTCATATTTCATTATTCATGTTCCTTCCTCATGATTTTACCATCAATCTGAACATCAGTTTTAGTATTCTTTTCCTCACCCAAGGACATGCTTAGAGAGAGGAAGGGAGAGAAAGAAACGCCAATCAGTTGTCTTCCATACTCCTCCCAACCAGGAACTGAACCCAAAACTCAGGTATGTGTCTTGACCTGTAATCAAACTGCAACCAAGTGAGCCACTCTGTCTGGGCAGTTTTACTACTGACCTAATATTTTCCCATTAAGTCAACTCTTTCACTTTTTTGAAAGCTCTGTGTCATGCCCAGCTGAGGTGGCTCAGTGGTTGAGTGTCCACCTATGAACCAGGAGTTCACTGGTTCAATTCCTGGTCGGAGCATATGCCTAGGTTGTGGGCTCAATCCCCAGTAGGGGGTGTGAGCCAATGAATGATTCTCTCATCATTGATGTTTCTAACCCTCTCCCTCTCCCTTCTTCCATGTTATCAATAAAAATATATTAAAAAAGATACCTTTGTGTCACTACTGTAAATGGAAAACCATAATCCCTTGACATAAATAGAAAGCATATGCAAGACATGGACGTAAGGATTAAAATAACCTCAACCTGTAGCAGTAATACTGCCTCCACCACACACGGAGAAGTACTAGCAGAGTCTATATATTGGACCCCTCGCCTGGAATGTTCTGTCATAGACCTCTCCAAAGCAGTTTTTTCTCATCTCTCATGACTCCTAAATATTCCTTCCTCAGTCTTAGGCACCCATCTATCATGCGAATTACCTCCTCCCCAATATAAACAGTACTTGGCCATCTTCGCAGCACTTTTCTCTATTTGTTCATTGATATTGTCCCAACTAATTATAGGCTTTATGAAAGAAGGCAGAGACCACATCCTGTGCACTCTTATGTCCTTGGAATCTAGGATTGTGATTGTTATGTATAGAGGGTATATATTGAATTAATGCTTCTCCCAGAGCTATACTGGCTACTACTTTTTAAAGCTGCAGAACCTGTTATTCCTAGGAGCCTCCTGGCCCATCTTATTGTTTTAGTGTTCCAGTAATTTTCATTAATTTATACAACAGGTTCTCAACATTAGGCCTCTAGGTCTGAAAGTATGTTCAGAAAATGAAGCCTGGAATTTGAAACCATGCAAACCCCACATACCTCATCAGGCAAGTGGAAGGCCCAGAGCAGTTTTTGGCATCATTTTAGATTTTTATGCTACAACTACTCACTTCAAAATATTTTCAAACGTAAAAAAAAAAATTGTATCATACTAATAAAGTAGTATTTGTTTAATTAAAATGATTACAGTCTTTTTCTTTTAAAATCCCACACAGGTTAAGAAAGGTTATGGATGGAAATTTAGTAAGATTTTTATTATACTGGAGATTCTTCTATAATGTCATTTACAACAATCTGATTTATTAAGTAAGCACTATTATGCCTAGTTTTTTTTGTGTGTGTGTGTGTGTTTTAAGCAGCCTTTTCTCAGATATTAGACATTAGGGACAAGTCTAATCATTTAGCTGGTCTCTATGCTGGTTTCCAGGGAAAATGATCCATTATCTGAGTGATTTTCTCATAAGCAATTTACTCACCAGATCAGTGTCACCCAGATCTAACTTCTCTAAGGATGAATTAATTCGTAACATTGCAGCAAAACACATTCCACCTTTATTTTCAATCTTGTTTCCAGTCATTCTTAAGTATTTCAGAGTTGTATTCTTCTGAAAAGGAAAAAAAAAATTAAACCTTTGTTAGATTTTTAACCCACAGAATTTTCTTCAGAGTATGAGTTAGGTGACTATTTTACTATATTTGCAGGCTCATCAATTATTCATGGAGATGGAATTGGATATAGTCTTTAAGGGTGACATTCAATTTCCCATAATAGATAAAATCTAGATTAATAGTAGCTCAGTAGAAAGAATACCCAGGAAACAAATGCCAAACAATAACCACTAAATAAAGCAGATTTAAAAAAATATATTTTAATGACTTTTTTACAGAGAGGAAGGGAGAGGGATAGAGAGTTAGAAACATCAATGAGAGAGAAACATCAATCAGCTGCCTCCTGCACACCGCCCACTGGGGATGTGCCCGTAACCAAGGTACATGCCCTTAACCGGAATTGAACCTGGGACCTATCAGTTCACAGGCTGACACTCTATCCACTGAGCCAAACCGGTTTTGGCTAAAGCAGACTTTTAATAAACTTTCTTTTCCTTGGAAAAAATCTATAAATTTATCTTTTAAGAATATTATACCATTTTTTTATTGAGGTGAAATTTATATAACACAAAATTATTCATTTAAAAGTGTACAATTCACTGATTTTTAGTATATTCACAGTCATCACCTCTAGCTGGTTGCAAAACATTTTCGTCACCCCCCAAAGGAGACCCATTAAGCAATCAGTTTGCTTTAAAAGACCTAGTTCTCAAACATTCTCAAAGTTTAATTTCTTTTCTCATTCCACTTTTTGGATAATTTTCACAAAGAAAGTTATGGACATTTCATTGTCTTAATGAAAATATTAAGTATAAATAGTTGTCTTTAAAACTAATCTAAACTCACCGCATTTAACACTACAGGCCCAGTGCATAGATTTGTGCACCAGTGGGGTTCCCCAGCCTGGCCTGTGCCCTCTCGCAATCTGGGACCTCTCAGAGGATGTCAGACTGCTGGGATCGGGCTGAAACCGGCAGTCCGACATCCCCCGAGGGATCCCCCAAGGGATGTAGTAGTGCAGTGGGGAGGAGCCCAAGTTTGGGCTGGTTACCCGCTGCTCCTGCTCATCCTGCCCTGCTACAGTAGCACTGCCACAGAGGTGAGAGAGGCTCGCAACACTGCAGCTGCGCTTGCTAGCTGTAAAGCTGGCATCTAGTGCCCGTTGATCAATTGAGCGGAGCTTTCACTGTGGGAGTGCACTGACCATCATGGGGCAGCTCCTGTGTTGAGCAACTGCCGCCTGGTGGTCAGTGTGCATTATAGCAACCTGTCGAATGGCCTAACAGTTGCTTAGGGCTTTATATATGTAGACTAGAGGCCCAGTGCATGAAATTCATGCAGGGGGGGGGGGAGGAAGGAGGGAGAGGGTCCCCTCAGCCTGGTCTGTGTCCTCTCGCAGTTCGGGGCTCTCACAGTCTAGGACCCCTTGCTCTTTACTGCTGCACTCGCCAACCATGAGCCCAGCTTCTGGCTGCTGGGCTCATGGTTGGCGAGTGCAGCAGTGTTCCTGTGGGAGCACTCTGACCATTGGGGTAGCTCCTATGTTGATCATGTGTCCCCTGGTGGTCAGTGCACATCATAGCGACCAGTAGTTCCATCTTTTGCTTGATTTGCATATTAGGGTTTTATTATATAGGATTGTACTGAAGGTTCTACATAGGGCCATCAGGCAAGAAATAAATAAAAAGGCATCCAAATTGGAAAAGAAGTAAGTAAAACCATCTCTGTTTGCATATTATATGTAGAAAATCTTAAGCCACACAAAAAGGAAAAATCTGTTTGAACTAATAAACAAGTTCAGCAAGACTGCAGGAAACAAGGTCATTATATAAAAAATCAATTGTATTTCTATATATGAGCAATGACAAATCAAAAAATGAAATTAAAAAAATTCCATTTACAATAATATCAAAAAGTATAAAAGATTAGGAATACATTTAACAAAAGAAGGTCAAGACTTGTATTATACATTGGAAACTATAAAGCATTACTGAAGGAAATTAAGGACCTAAATAAATATCCCCATATTCATGGACCAGAAGACTTAATATCATTAAGATGGCAATACTCCCCAAATTGATTTTTAGATTTAAAACAATTCCTCTCAAAATCCCAGGTGCTTTTCTTGCAGAAATTGATTCACTGATCTTAAAATTCATATGGAAATACAAGGAACTCAGAAGAGCCAACATGATCTTGAAAAAAGAACAAAGGATTCACCCTTCTTGATTTTAAAACTTACTACAACACTACAGTAGCTGTGATAGTGTAGGATTGGCACAAGGACAGGCAGATATAGATTAAAAGAATAGAATGGAGAGTTACAAAATAAACCCTCACATTTATAGTCAACTGGTTTTCAACAAGGGTGTCAAAGAAAATTAAAAGGGGAAAGAATCATCTTAACAAATGGCAGTGGGACAACTGGATACACCCACAGGTGAAAGAATGAAGTTAGACTTCTAGCTCAAATCATATACAAAAATTAACTCAAACTAAATCAAAGGGCTAAATGAAAAGCTAAAACATAAAACCGTTAGAAGAAAATAAGTGTAAATCTTCGTGACTGGGTTAGGCAAAGCCTTCTTGGATATAATACCAAAAGCACAAACAAGAAGAGGAAAAATAGATAAACTTAACTTTATTAAAATTTTAAAATGTTGTGCTTCAAAGGACACCATTAAGGAAGTGAAAGGCAGCCTACAGAATGAGAAAATAGTTGCAAAATACACATTTGATAAAGGACTTGTATCCAGAATATATAAAAACACTTATAATTTAAAAGGACAAATAATCCAATTTTAAAATGAGCAAAGAATTTGAAGATATTTCTCCAAAGAATATATGTAAATGGCTAAAAAAGCACATGTAAAGATGTTCCACATCACTGCTTACTAGAGAAATGCAAATCAAAACAACCACAAAACCTCTTCATACTCAGTAGGATGGCTAAAATTAAAAAAAGTACCAAATGCTGGTGAGGCTATGAGAAACTGGGAAACTCTTTTATTGGTATTGAAATTGTAAAAAGGGACAGCCACTTTGGAAAACAATTTGGCAGTTCCTCAAAATATTAAGCAGTTACCAAATGGTCCACAAATTCCACTCCTAGGTATATACCCATGAAAAATAAAACATGTGTAAGTAGTCATAGTAACATAATTCATTAGAGACAAAATGTGGAAACCCAAATGTTCATTAACAGATGGATGAACAAAATGTGATATACCGATACAATGGAATATTATTTGGCAATAAAAAGGATGAACCTTGAAAACATTACGCCAGTCACAAAAGGCCACATATTGAATGATTCCGTATCCATGAAATGCCCAGAACAGGCCATCTATTGGTACAGGTGGAAAGTGGGTTAGTGGCTGGTGAGTGGGGAGAGGAGCACAGAGAGGGGTTCCTAATGAGCACAGGCCTTCTTTTTTTGGGGGAGGGGGCGGGGGGTGACAATGCTATGAAAGCACTAATAATGGTGATGGTTGCACAACTCTGTGACTATATTTTAAAAACCACTGAACACTTTAAAAGGGTAAATTGTATGTATGTAAATTTAAGCTATTGATACTTTTAAAAAGGAGTTCAAAAGTGCTCATATAATGCTCATCTTTTAATAAATTAAAGTATAATAAAAAATACACCCCCACAATATTAAAATAATATAAATTCACATTAACATTTGATTCTGTTAGTTACAAGATATCAGAAGTTAAAATTCCCAAATACAATGTTACTTACATGTAGTGCTTTAGCAATCAATTCTCCACCTTTGGGCCCAATATCGTTAAACATAAGGTTTAAGTAAATGAAATTGTGTTGTTTCTACAATAAGGAAAAGAAGCCATTCAACATGCGTTATTAAAAATCAATACTATATGAGCTGTTTTATTTAAGTAACTGTTTATAAAACAGAAAATCTTTATAAACCAGAAAGTCTGAAAGTCTAGTTTCTTTTGCTAGACTTAAAGGGGGAAAAAATCCCTATTCTCATTTAAACATAAATATAATTGCAATATAGAATAAAGAAAAGGACTATCTTCAATTTTGACCAAATGAATGTGCTTTGAATATTGAACCATAGTGTACAAGTTTGTAAAAGATGACTCAGCAGCTCTAGTAACCAGCTCTACTGAAACCAAGTGCAAAAATGGATTTTCAATACATTTCAAGTGTTGTCAATATATCACAGTCAGGACTTGACATTTTGCAAAACTTGTGTTTTGTGGGTGTGCCAATCGACTTAGTTTCACTATAAATAGAACAAAGAATGTCTTGAAGATTTTGTTGCATTTTTATTCTCATCTTTTAATAAATTAAAGTATAATAAAAAATACAAAGAATGTCTTGATGCAGCATTTCAGTTTGGGTGTCTCCAAAATGAATCTGCAATAAAGGGTTAACTTAGCAGGCTTAGCATGTTCAAACCCTGCACATTCCAAAGAAAGGGCAGGTTCTTTACTGACCCCATAATGCAGCATTTCAGTTTGGGTGTCTCCAAAATGAATCTGCAATAAAGGGTTAACTTAGCAGACTTAGCATGTTCAAACCCTGCACATTCCAAAGAAAGGGCAGGTTCTTTACTGACCCCTGAGAATAACATGGTTTCTTCATTTTTTTTATCTTCACCTCTGCACTTACATTGTGCGCCATTACATGGGTCTGAAAATTTTGAGATCATTTTATTTATTTATTTTTAATTTTTTTTCTTTTTCAATATATTTTATTTATTTTGTACAGAGAGGAAGGGAGAGAGATAGAGAGCTAGAAACATCGATGAGAGAGAGTCATCGACCAGCCGCCTCTTGCACACCCCCTACTGGGGATATGCCCGCAACCAAGGTACATGCCCTTGACTGGAATCGAACCTGGGACCCTTCAGTCCCCAAGCCGACGCTCCATCCATTGAGCCAAACAGGTCTCAGCTTAAGATCATTTTAAACTCATTAAAAATGCTTTTAGAAGAAGAGGTTGAGTAAAGTAGTTACAAAATTAAAAAGCCAATATAAGGGAGAAATTAAAAAAAAAAGATATATACAGTTCTAAATAGTTTATTTTAACTGACAGTACAGACAAGCGCCTATTTCAAGTACAACTTCTCTGATTAGTGGACCACACTGTCTTTCTTACATAAAATGCAACCATAATGCAGCATTTCAGTTTGGGTGTCTCCAAAATGAATCTGCAATAAAGGGTTAACTTAGCAGGCTTAGCATGTTCAAACCCTGCACATTCCAAAGAAAGGGCAGGTTCTTTACTGACCCCTGAAAGAAAAGAAAAGAAAAGAAAAGAAAAGAAAAGAAAAGAAAAGAAAAGAAAAGAGAAGAGAAGAGAAGAGAAGAGAAGAGAAGAGAAGAGAAGAGAAGAGAAGAGAAGAGAAGAGAAGAGAAGAGAAGAGAAGAGAAAAGGGAGGGGAGGGGAGGGGAGGGGAAGGGAGGGGAGGGAAGAAAAAAGGGAAGGGAAGGGAAGAAAAAAAGGAAGAAAAGAAAAGAAAAAAGAAAAGAAAGACAAAATGTTTTGTAGTAAAATAATACCTGAAGCAGTTTCGCAGCATAGTATGCACCAGCATCACTTATGAAGTTATATCTAAGATCCAAACCTGAAGAACACAGAGGAGTAAAAGCTGATGTTCCTTATAATGGACAGATAAAGCAGGAAAATAAAAGCAGGGGCAACCTAACCGGTTTGGCTCAGTGGATAGAGAGTTGGGTCTTGGACAGAAGGGTTCCAGATTTAATTCTGGTCAAGGGCACATGCCTGTGGATGCTGGCTCAATCCCCAGTAGGAGGAGTGCAGGAGGCAGCCAATCAATGATTCTCTCTTATCATTGATATTTCTCTCACTTTCTTAAATCAAATATACAAATATATTTTTTAAAAATAAAGCTGTCTTGAAAATTAAAAAAAAAATTTTTTTTGTTTGTTTAAAAAAAATTGAAAAAGCAGGGGCAAAGATTCTTAAGGAGACCATAATTATATTAATACTAGAGGCCCAGTGCACAGAATTAGTGCATTGGGGGGAGGGGTGGCCCTCAGCCCAGCCTGCACCCTCTCCAATCGGAGATCCCTTGGGGAATGTCCAACTGGCAGTTTAGGCCCTGCAGAATCCGGCCTACACAGGCAGTCAGACATCCCTCTCGCAATCCAGGACCACTGGCTCCTAATCACTTACCTGCCTGCCTGTTTAATGCCCCCAACAGCCCTCCCCTGCTGGCCTGGTTACCCTTAACCCCCTGCTCTCCCCTGTCGGCCTGATTACCCCTAACTGCCTCTGCCACTTTGGATTTGTTCAGAAAAAGTTGGATGTTCGGTCTAATTAGCATATTACCCTTTTATTAGTATAGATATGGACTATACCATTAATATATGGATTCTTCTCTAAAGTTTTAAAAAGAGCTAAAAAATCTTCATTTGTTATTCTTTCCACTGGCATTGACTGATTGTTACCAGCGAGGTTTAATGTGATCCTTTCTGATCTGTTAAAATACAAACAAAGTCAGTAACGAAATAAGAGGATTTTATTCTTCATGTGTAAATAGTAACAACATGGATAGCATTAATCGGAACCAAATATGTACAGCAATATAGATTTACATCAAGTCACTTAAAACTACTAAATATTCTACAGATTTTGCTAAGCACTTTAATATATACTGTATAACCTAGCTTTTCTCTCTCTCACACACACACACACACACACACACACACACATAAAAGTATCCCCACTTGGTAGATAGTAACATTGAAGACTTCAATGATTTGTATAACTACCAGCAAATAGGAGTTAAGGACAAACCTGGAGACCCAGAGTTGGAGATTGCTGGTCTAGTGTCCTTTCCAGTCACTGTACTCCACTACCTCCAAGACCTACTAACAGCAACAATCAACGACTTCTCCACCTCGAGAACTACTAACAGTGACAATCTACCACTCTGAATCAAAAGATATGTCCATTTTACCAAGCACGTGCAAATGGCTTTGAAATCACTCAGTATTCCAGGATTTTCACATGGGTGAATATCACAGAATATTATTGATATAATCAATTATTTTTCTTCCTTACTGCTTTTGGATTTCTTCATCCGCTCCTTTGAGTTGATGCAATACAAAATCATTAATTTTCTGTGACTTTTCTACACATAGATTGTAATAAAATTCCCGGAGGCTGGAGGTAATAGGTTCTGGAGCTTTGGAGACATAAATGCATGATCATTACCTTTCAATCACGCATTAATCACCCCAGAGCTCCTCCCTCTCCCAAAATTGCACTTCTTCCAAAGAGATGAATGTGTGTGTACAGAGTCAGGTGGGGAAGAAAAGGAGACAGAATTGGCAGAAAGAGAGGAGAGAGACAGAAGTTAGGAACCAGAGAGAATAAAAACGCTGTTTGGAGAACGAGGTCCACAAAAGCACCCACCGGAGGGTGGGCAGACACTACCTTGGAAATGACATCAAAGGAGAACTAACCTTTGTATGTAGCAGGCCTGGAAGCTGAGGAAAATAATGCCAGAGAAATTAAATATTTTGTCCAAACGCATGCAGTTAGTTAACAAGGGCAGAGAGTTCAGAGAATCAAACTGATCCCCACGTTTCTTTTCTACCCTGCGACCCTGGGTGAAGGCAACTCCAGGTTTCTTATAATGGCTTCATATAAAGACAGTTTTGTCAGAGAATCTATATTCAGAAGGGACCTGAGGCATCCCTGAGTCCCTCAAGCTGCCCCATACCCTCTCCGGACACCGTGCGAGTTGATGGCATCTCAGCACACAGCTCTAGTGCTTCTTCCTAACGCAGAGAGAAGCCCTTCCCGGCCCTGCCTCGGGGCTCCCACAAAAAGGGGCCAAGAGGAGCATCCCGTCACCCTCCCGGAGACCCTAAAGGCAAGGTGGCAGGCCCACAGGAACACCTGCCTTCGGGACGACCTGTCACGCGAAGGGCGGACGCGCCGCCAGAGACTTGGGGTCCCCTCCCGCCCGTGTTTGGGGGTGCCCCAAAGCTCCCGCCACCTTCTGGGGCTCCCGGGGCACGCTCCCGCCACGCCGACCCCCCCCCCAAAACCCCCTTCTTTACCTTCACCCCTTCCCCACCTTCACCCCTATTCCCACCCCCCTCCCCCCACGGCGGAGCCTGCCACCCCGCAGCCCGGGCTCCCATGCTCCTCGCGCGTTTGGGGCGACGAAGGACACCCTGTTTCTTCTGGCTACCGAAGGTCTGGGTCCGGCCCCAAAGCGGAGCAGTGAACTGGGTTGGGGGCGGAGTTGGGTAGAGGTTTCCCGGCCGGGCGGGCCTCTCCGGCTGCATGCTGCTCCCTCCCGGCGGGCTGCAGCGGCGGCGTTGTCATGACGACCACGCGCACGCGCCCTGGTCCCGGCGTGGACTGCAGCGGCGACGTTGTCATGACGACGTTGTCATGACGACCGCACGCATGCGCCCTGGTTCCAGCGCACTGCGCTCGAGCGATTCGGGGATCGAGAGCGCGTGCTGGGCAAGGCCGCGGGACCCGGATCTCACCGCCCTGCACTGCACCGGGGTCCCCGGCCCTTACTTACACGGGCCAGGAGCCCCGTCTGGACAGGCAGTGTGACTGCCCCTGCCATGCGGGCTCCACGGTCGCCATAGCCGGGGCCAGATCACGCCCTTGTACGCCCGGGGGTGGATGTCCCACCGAGGCCGGGCTCCCCGCAGCTTTGCAGGGACGCGTTTTCCAGGTTTACAGGAGGCGCTGCTGTCGGGCTGGGCCGGGACCACAAAGATGATTATGACACAGTCGCCTCCCCAGAGGGTGTGCGCACATCTGTGGGGGCCAAGGGCAGAGGAGATAGATGGCGGCACGGATAGGGCGGGGAGCTCAGGGAGCACAAAGGGACGGTGTGGATCAGCCTTTGAGAGTTGGGGAGCACCTGGGAGGGCTTGCTGGAGGAGGTAAAGCCCTGCCTGGTGGAGTGAACCCGCTAGAGGGCGGAGCTGCTCGGTGTGTGCTGGAGGCGTGCAGGTACTTGGGGTTGCCCAGGACAGTGCAGAGGAAGGGTTGCAGGCAGAACGGGCCCACGTGGAGTCCTGTGCATCCTCGGGAGCACAGCTGCTGGAGAATGGATTGGACACATCGCAGGGGAAATGAGGTCTGAAGCAGCTGCAGTAACCCAGGAGAAGTAGTAAGGCCTCGGCTAAGACTGGACTTGGGGGGAATGAAAAGAAAGGGACGAATCTCAGAAATAGTTTCAGGGTGGCATAATCAGAATTTAGTACTTGGACATCCGAAGGAGAAGAGGAAGGAGGGAAGGGGAGGCTTTCTGTTTGGGGTTGCTATGGGTTCAAGAGAAGGAAGTCCAAGGCCCTGACTAGGACCTGGAGCCAGACAGAGACCCTCCAAGGGAAACCAGGCTGTTTATAGGCACAGTTCAAAGGTGAAAAACAAAATGCCTGAATCCTCTCTCCCTCATGCTGTCCCACCAGGCAAGTCTAACCAGTGCTCCGCTGCCAGGACATTGTTGTGCTGTACAAGGCAGAGGTCTCTTGAAGCCCTGTGCCCACAGAGTCTAAACGTCACCTGAAATAGCATTGCTTCAGGTTAACCATGATGATGATGATAGAAAACAGACAATTATGTGTTCACTCACCCTATGTGCTGCCAACAAAGTTGACAGGTGGCTTGAAATACCAAAGTGTATTTACAATCTAGTGCAGGTACAATCCAGCACCTGCCTTTCCCTAAGCCCCCCTTAAAGTGTTTTTGAGTTAAGAAGATAAAGGAAAGAACAGAGAGGTGGGGATTAATTAATTGCTGCTGCATTGGGGAGAGAGGGATGTTCTTCCAAGGGAGCAAGAAATGCAGAATCAGATTCTTGTTTTAGAGAGGAACTAATAAGTAGGGTCAAGACAGAATAAACAGAAAAGGGCTGCTTTAACCAAACAGAACCTACAGTCCTATTCTCCTTAGCAAAAACAGAAACAGAAACAGTGTTTACACAAAAACACAGCCTGCAGTGTCAAAACGCATACTAAACAGATGATGAAAAAAACACTGATCACATATACAACCTAGTTCCATCAGTGTATTTCTCGTTACCCCTCATGAAATGATTTTCAGATAAAGGAGGGATATAGTTGGGGGGGCAGGGGGAGACAAACACCTTCCCTTGAGAAGCACTGAGTGTTAGGGAGGTGAGGGAGATGTTGCTGAGTTAGCTGGAAGAAAACCTAAGTGGATTCATTGGGTACTTATGTGTCAAGAACCCAGAGTAGGTCTAACTCGAATCTGAGCTTTCTAGAAGTCGGAGCCAAAGGGAATATATGAGGATATGGAGTCCTGGCTTCAATAAAAGACAACATTTATGTTTCTCTGGTACCCTCTAGTAGGAGAATTTAGCAGATATATCTTAATATAAATAACTTAATGCATATGTCCTTGACTATAATTTTGTAGATGATCCAGAAGTATTTTTTCCCCAAATGATTGTTTCTTTTATTGTAATTCTATTTAGAAAGCCAACGGCTTGGTATTTAATTTCTAGAAACGCTATGCACGAAGATTCATGCAAGAACGGGGCTTCCTTGCACTGGCTGCTGGCATTGCCTTTGCTCTAGCTGGAACTGCCTTTTCACCTTCCCATGCTGCCCAAAGGCCTAGAGCAGCTGGGCATTGTGGAATGCCTGTGTCATCGCCATAATGATGACTCAGGTGCCTGCTTATGCAAATTAACCCACCATATTTATTGGGTTAATTTGCATACTCACTCCTGATTGACCGTGTCTCGAAGGTATGGTCAATTTGCATGTTGCTCTTTTATTAGTGTGGATAGTAATAGGTTCTAGGCATGGTGTATCCTGATAATATGGTAATAGAACTCATAGGATCTAGGGGATTATTTAGCATATTCATTAGCTATTTTCACAGCTATCAGATGCTGAGGTGCCAGCAAGCACTGAAACAGAATAAATAAATGCCTGATTTGATTTTTCTGACAAGTATATAAAGTACTGACTCTGGTGTTGTTTGTGCATGAATGTTTAGATACTGAATATGCAGGTGGAAAATGAGTGTTCTGCTATTTTTTAAAATATATATATTTTATTGATTTTTTTACAGAGAGGAAGAGAGAGGGATAGAGAGTTATAAACATCGATCAGCTGCCTCCTGCACACCCCCTACTGCAAGCAAGGTACATGCCCTTGACCGGAATTGAACCTGGGACCTTTCAGTCCATAGGCCGATGCTCTATCCACTGAGCCAAACCTGTTTCAGCAAGTGTTTTGTTATTTTAAAATGATTTGGCCCATGGATTAAAAGAGTATGTAGCATGAAAAGTTTTACATTCTTGTTTTCTGATGAGTTGAGAAAATATCTCAGTGATTCATAGGGAAATAATGCCCCAAACTTTCCTGCTCATGATACAAATAACATTTTGAAAAACCCAAATTTAAAAACAGAAGAAAAAGAGAAAGAAAAAGCTTGCTCAATGAGTTACTAGATCTATAATTTGATGGTAGGGGGAAGGGACTGAGGGTGAAACATTTTTGTAAAATGGATAAGATGCAACTTTTGAATCTATTTAAAGAAAGCAAGTATGAGAAGCTATTTCAGATAAATAATTTGGTGACAGTGGGGATGGAAGCATACCTTCAAGTTGCTTGCTTGTGAAAAGTTTTCCATTGATGTCTGAAATCTATATGGAACTTTCAGTTCAGTATTAGCTGAAAGGAGACAACATTTTTTCAAGGGATTTTATAGCTTCCCAGAAATTTTTATCAAAGCAAAGAATAATGTTACTGTTACATGATTTTCTAGTCCTAGGTAATTAAGGCTCCTTTTAGCTTATTTATATTAAAGAAAATAGAGCTCCCAGGTAAAGTTTTAGGCAAAATCTCAAAATGATTTTAATTAGAAATGTAATGAGAGAGTCAGTCACTTACCATAGTAACCTCAGGGCCCTAATTTTATCCATTCGGTTTGTGTGTAATCACACATGGAAACATAAGTATCAACACTTGATGTAAATTTGAAAGGGCTGATCATTTTCCTAAATGGTTTTCTTGGACATTAAAGTTACATAAAAAAGGGCTAATTAAATTATCCAACCTTGACTCTTTAAAATGATGATGCAACAAGTGATTCCACTTAGAAACACCACAGGAACATTGGATTGTAATAAGTTAATTTGATCTCATTCAGTAGCAATTTCTAGGGGGAAAATAGCCAATAAGGAATCAATATTCCCCCATTCTTATTTACTGTGGCTGAATTACTAGCAAAGCTCTTGCAAATCCAGGCTTTACAACCAGTTTTTGTATATTTACTTATTTAAGTTAAATACTAGAGGCATGGTGCATGAAATTCATGTATGGAGGGGGGGATGTTCCTCAGCCCAGCCTGCACCCTCTGCAATCTGGACCCCTCGAGGGATGTCTGACTGCCCAACTGCCCGTTTAAACCCAATCCTGGTGGGATCGGGCCTAAACCGGCAGTCGGACATCCCTTTCACAATCCAGGACTGCTGGTTCCCAACTGTTCCCCTACCTGCCGTTCTGATTACCCCTAACCCCTTCTGCCTGCCAGTCTGATCACCGCCTAACCACTCCCATGCCAGCCTGATTGATACCTAACTGCTCCGCTGCCAGCCTGTTTGCCCCCAACTTCTCTCTTCTGCCAGTCTGGTCACACCTTAACTTCTCTCCCCTGCAGGGTTGATCACCTCCAACTGCCCTTCCTTGCAGACCTGGTTCCTTTCAACTGCCCTCCTTTGCAGGCCTGGTGCCTCCCAACTGCCCTCTCCTGCTGGCCATCTTGTGGTGGCCATCTTGTGTCCACATGAAAGCAGCCATCTTTGACCACATAAGGGCAGCCATATTGTGTGTTGGAGTGATGGTCAATCTGCATATTATTCTTTTATTAGATATGATTATTTTTTATTAGTTTTAGGGTATAGCATAATGGTGAGACAATACAAAGTGTTCCCCACAAACTCCTTTTATTAAATCAACTAATTATATAATAAATACATATATAGCTTTCAGATGGCCATCA